ATTATCCTACTATTGTTACAAAATTTATTAACATGCTCTTTTTTAGGTTCATTTAGGTTCTTTTGATAACGATAGCAGAAAATAGCTATCGAAACGCAAAGGTAATTTTTCAAATTAATTTCTTTACTAATTGGAATTTTCTCTTACAGCTTACAGCTAAGTGTGTCGCAGGACACCCTCTATTGGGAACATTATATTTATTTTGTCAAATCTGCGGATAGAATAAATATATTTTGAAAGTAGTTTTTAGATCACGTTTTAGTTTCATAACTATTTATCAATCTGTAATAAAAGACGTGAAGAAAGTCTGTCTTTTTAAAGACAAAAATTTTTGAGGCGAAATACCCAACAAGCAGTTTGTAAAAAAATGAATTCGCCTCAACAATATAGAACTTATCTAAAGAAAAAGAAAGCTAGTAAGTTTCCGTAATAGCTGAATAAGTTTATCAAAGAATCTTCGACATTTTATTGACTTTATTATTATTGACCCCCGTATTGGAGGACACACCATTTACATTAAATGCTTGCATACATAAGGTAAAATCCGAAAAGTATAAAATACGTGTTTCTTCAATAAATTCATACAGGAATAAACTGCATATAATAGTGTAAAAATAATTTTGTCCTGAAAAGCAAATGTATTTTTCTTTCAGTGAGTTGTGTTAATATTATCCTGGTTGTTTTATTTACAAAAGCCCTTTCCAAGTGTACCTACTTCTAGTATCTAATAGTGGATTGTAGCTAATTTGAAAATAACTGAAAAAATTCTGTTTTAAAATATTTTACGCCTGTTTTATTACTTTGGATCCTAATGTTTCCTAGAATTTTATTTTAAGGCCTATGTTGTCTCATTTTTGTGTTTTGCTCTAAAATCGAATGCCAATACATTAAACTTACGACTAAAAGGTCTAGGATGAAATTACAGGGTTGACCGCACTCCGCGTTGTGTTATTGTTTTGGATATTAATTTGATTTATCAATTAATTAAAATCCACTTTCTATATTTTATATTATATAAAAGTACTCTAAAACTATCGTTCAAAACGTTAAGAAAATCTCTAAGTCTCGTTTCAAAAATCAAATCCATTGTTTTCCACTTACTCTTTTTGCTTTATGAATTTAATACTGACAAAAATATTTGTTACCAACATTTCGGTAATAATTATTTTAACAATTGCATCAGAATTGCTGCTGGATCTGATTTCGAATGATAAAATATCGCTCAATTTGATTGGTCAATTTTGCGGCTGCGTTACAGCTTCTGGATTCTTGAGGCTCAGTTTGCCCAATCTCGGTTACTCAAGTAGTCAAGTAGTTCTTCTTTGGAGGCCAGATGAAGCACTACTCATCTGGCCTCCAGAAAACAACTAAATCAAGTCAAATACATCTTTTAGTAGAATACTTCACAAGTTTTACGGTCTGGTAAGTGATTTTTTTATTTGTTGATAAGGGTTTGTCTGTCATGCTATTTTTTGGATACAACAAAAATGTATGTATATTTTCTTAACCAAAATATTGTGCAACAGAAAATGAAGGGCTAGAAAAGTCAAGGCAAATTAAATCTTTAATTATTACAACAGTAGTAACAAATACTTTCGATTAGATTAATATTGTAACAATTACACAATTTCTTTTTTAATATATTTTCATTATTTAGTTTGCTATATTAATAAGATGTTTTCTAAAATCACAGACAAACGCATATTTAGCCGTGGATAAAATATTGCAACTACTGTACTGACCTTCTAATTTTATTTGAGCAAAAAACACTTAGGTATTTACATTCAAGAAAATACTCAAATAAATTTAAAATACGTGACAATATTAAGTTTAACACATTAATCGACACAAGAAGCACAAAGCTAGAAACAAATTTGTTATTCAATGTTTTGTTGGGGATGCTTGGCAATCATTTATGGATTATTACGCTCGGATCACTGCTCAGCTCTCGAGGTACTGATGTCTCACAAAAATAATTCTAGTAATCACAAATAATTTGTGCAATTTGCATTACTTACTTCGTTTAAGTGGGGTTACTTTGCTTGTCGTTTGTTTTAATATTAAAAAACCAGCTCAATCTGATGTAAAACTTGGCAGCCACTGGAACAACCTACGCAAATTCTCACATTCATTCCTGATTTAAAAATCTGCGCTTTATTCATTGATGGAAAATTAAAGTTTATCTGCATGTTGAACTAATTCCTAATTCCAGAAATATATTTTTATTTTGGACATGCTAAATATCTGATTACAGGTTCAGAGCATTTTAAAACTGCAATTCATCGGACACCAATGCGGCTCTTCAGTATGAACTGGAAGACTACCTGCGTTCAGTGAATCTATTGGGAGACCAGGGCGAAGGCCTACTGTGGGAAACTGCGGCAGACATGGGGAGAATCTCCACTTCAGATGCGTTATATTGGAGTGAATTCTATTTTCTTCTAAGCGACCTGGGGTGGCGAATAGTATCCCCGAATATAACTATCTCCACACAAGAAACAAGAATCAAGAAACTCCGAAATCGAAATGTCAACATTCCTAGTACCTATTCATATTATTTTGGTATTTGATGAAAGTGAAAGTGCATGGAATAATAAACTCTGGATTAATTATTACGGTAGCAAATTAACTAGTAATAGTTTTTGCAATCCAAAGTTTATTATTCTATGACCTTGTTCTGATGGTTGTTTCTTGTGGTTCACTAGCGAGGAACTTTTTTTAAATATTCTAGATCTTTATTGGTAACCGAATTTAGGTCACTGTTTGAAATCGTTTGTAAATTCAATCAATATACGTTTCAGGATTTTAATACACTCTTAAACATTTAATATTTGTAACAAAAATATGCTGCTTTAAATTTACTGAAAGATGTATTGTTAAGATATGAAATTTTCTTTTTCGATTTATATTCATTTTTTTCATTTTGTTTTACAATAAAGTAATATTCACGCTTTTCAATTTAATTTTAATTTCTTAAATTACAACCTACATTTAATTTTCGCGCCGTTATTAAATTATGTAGTTGGAAATAAATTGCAAAACCACTTTCCGAATTCACTGTTTACTTAGCTCATTTCATTTTATTTCACCCTATTTTGATGCCTAAATATTCCTGCTTTTAATTGGGATTTATTAATACTTATTTTGGTTTCTGCAAATAGTGCAAGCCAGTAGTTTTTTGCAGCTACAAAATGCGGGTTGTCAATGTATTTAAATATAGGACTTCCTCATGGTTGTACTCTTCAACCGTTAATAAATACCGTAATGTTTTACCATTTGTTTAGAGTTTTTTTTGTTTTCCTAAGAATCCTATTTATTTCACGATTCCTTTGAGTTTCCATTATCTTGCAAAAACATGTTCATTTATAATCATGTTCTGGCGTAAAATATTTGCCGCGGTTTTTCATTCAGTATTTCTACATTAAATATTTGATTTTAGAAACATGGATCCAATTTTTAATAAAAAAGCGTCATTGCCTGTCGGCTGGGTAATGTGTACGTTTTAAGTAAAATTGTGCAACAATTATCATGAGATAATATAGCTAAAAGTACATACTCTCTTATTATTTAATTTTTTTTCATTTGTTACGTTGATTTCTGCAAGTACCGGATAAATAAAATTTCAAGGAAAATACAAGTGTAATATCTATTTGTATTCTGACTTTAGTCCTAAGAAAGTCTCGAAAATTAAAACCTTGGGGCATAAGTAGCAAAAAAAAATGTTTTTAAATCCAGTCAAATTTAGGAAAGTAAGGAAGTAAATATGTTATCAGCAGGATAGGATTCTAGAAAAAAGAGTAGAAAAAAAGAATGTAGACAATAATTCAAACAAATGTGAGGTTTTGAAGACAGCCAAGCCTATAAAGCATCTAATGTTTCCCAATTATGGGTTTGTTTTGAATTTTAAATCTGATGATGGCGCTTTTGTCTCGCCGAAACGTAATATGAAATAAACGATATGAACATTTTTTATTTTACATTTTGATTGAAACCCAGGGAAGAAAAAATATAATACCTATTCTTTTCCTTTTTCGAGTGAAATTATTTTTATTCGAGTAGAACACCTACTTATAGAGGAACTATCTCAGCCTCCAGAAAGCTTGTATGTGAAATAAAATTGGGCGAACTCCTCACAATAGAGCTAAATTCTATTGTTTGAATAACTGTTGGCCATTGATTAAATTGAAAGTTGAAAAGAAGGGTATTAATGATTGGGATATTAAAAATAACAAACTATCTGATAAGCACTTGGTGTATTTAACAGCTGTGCACCTAACATTTTCTCTTAGTAGACCTTTTAACTGGTAACACGTTTTTTCTTAGACTGATTATTCCGTTACAGCTTTATTGCAAATTATCTATCTATACGGCAACCACTGATAAAAAAGCTTCCTATCATTTCATAATTACGTTAGTGATCTTGAAACTTTATACTAATAGTTTCCAAAGGAATTGTAACTTCAATAGGTAGTAACACTTAAGCTGATGACTTAACTATGCTAAAAAAACCGCGATTTGATAACTTTCAGGGTGGAAAACCGATTCCTAATTAACACTAACATTTTTAGCGTTCAGATTTTCTATAGATTAACCTAGTTCTTACTAAAAAAAATCTAATTTTTGTCAATAAGACAAAAAGCTTTACATAGTCACGTCATCCTTGGAAATATATTAGTAACAATTCTAGCTTATTCGCATTACAGCTAGAGGACTCCATATATTTGGTACTTGACATTATTGTTGAAAGATGTAGACTTCTAAATGTTCCGATAACATTCTGTATTGTGTGGTGCAGAATGGATTGGTGCTCTTATAATATAGATCAATACGTACATGTTGCTAACTAATGCGACTATAAAACAGTGTATTATTACAACATTTTCAAGCCTGCATCTCTCTTAAAATATCGCGATACTTTTTGATTAGTGGTGTTTTATTTGCGGCTATTTTATCTGTTGAGTCTATGTAGCTGATACACTGTTTTGAATGAGAATAATCTATATATTCTAACTGACATAGTATTTCAAACATTATGCTTATTCATTAATCATGGAAACTTTCTGAATATATATGCTCTTTTTAAGCAGCTAGATTTTTATAGCTTCAGCAGTGTTCAGCACTTTAACTTTCAACTTTGAGACTTAGTTTGTCGGCCCCATTACCACCAAGAAACTTAACTATGAGTAAAAAGAGCGAACGCAAGTTAACAGAACCTAAGCACACTTTTTCAGTAAAACGAAAAATATAGTATTAGTCTTAATTACGTGTTAAATACACGTTCAATAAATCATTTAAACATAAAATTCATTATATTTATATATCTCAAAAACTTATTTTTCGCTTTCAACTTACACGTTTAAATAGAGTATAGATATTAGTGTTTGGTAGAATAGTATGGATTTCGTTGTTATAGTTAACTGATTTCGGACGACTTCAAGAATATGAGTTAAACATTCCCATTTTTTTTGGAGTCCACCCAGCCTTCAGGACCAGTAAAGGCTGATACTAAAGCTACCACTTATACCTAATTATATCTACCTACATATTAAACGGTCAGCTTCTTCTGTTGGAAGGCTCATATTTTTGTTTCCCTAAGCAGAATAGAGAACAGAAATACGCTTCCATACCTAGGTTCGTTAAAGAGCATCGTTATCTTCGTACACACAGTCAAACTTATTGGAAGTGCTGGGCTGTAATTGGCTATTTGCACTGAGGAAATTTAACCTGGAAATAAGAATACCTACGATAATTTTTTGCTCGAATTTCCTTCCATTTAAAACCATTCTGGGCAGTCTTTGGCAATTTTAGTTTTTGCCAATAAAAACAGTGTAGAGTGAAAAAAAAAGTGTCAAAGGCAAAACCAAAAGAATCGTACTTACCCATTTCGAAAAATAGTCCTTCTATTGCTAAATCCGGGGGGTGTCGATGAATATCTGCAATAAAAAAAATTCATCAATCCGGATTTTGCCTCATTATTTTTAATGTATTTACTTCTAACTTAAAACGAGTTTTTTGCTTTCTTACTAATAAATCTCAGCGAACAAGTAGCGAAATTTGCATTTACATGCTATTTCAATGCCGGAATCAGACCTCTAGGGATAGTTTTCTCCGATTTCAAATTCAGCAGTAATTTCTTCAATCTTTTTCCACTGGCAATTGATCAACCAGACGCTTTAAATATTTTTCACTTTCTCAAAATGAATCATTCCTACTGTCCTTTCTGCACCAATGCATGATAAAGATGCGATAATTAGTTTATAAATATGTCTATATAAAAAACAAGCGGAAGTGTTCATTGTTAAACAAAAGCTACCAAAACCAGAAGCTTTGCAAAAACGGACATGAACAATTAATTTCCATATTCAGTTTTATAGCGATCAGTAGATAGTCCATAATAATCATGGCTAGGTGGACACGTAGATGCGAAATACCTAATGCTGTTGAAGCTAGGATTTATAGTTTATTTATAGTTTTAGAGAAACAGTATGGATCGAACTAAATATGAAAATATGTATCAAATAACCGTTGAGCATCAAAATCTGGAAATGTGGTTTCGATCATATAAAAATGTAATACTTACTTTGCAATAAAACTGCAGAGCCGCCATAATTTTAAACTAAAGTAAAACCTTAACTAAACTAGACTTTAGATATCTGTTGACTTGTCTACATGTTCAGAATGACGACTGGATTGTTCCACATATCTAGTTGTTTATATATTTATTTTGAACCGACATAAAATGATAACGAAAATAAGTATTTGTGATAAAACAACCACGTATATAGATCATGTTCAAATTTCAAGTGAGGGGAAGCACTGAAGGATTTAGATTATTGAAGTAAGTACGATATTTTGTTCACTTCAGATTTTTATATAAAGTGATAATTATTGTCAAAATCAATCTGTTGGTATTGTAGTTTTTATTAGGTTACAAATCTTGGTTTGTATCAAACCGGTTTCTCATTGAGCACGTTTTTCTATGCGCGATTTTTCTAATATTAGCAGTATCAGATACTACTTTTGAGTAGTAAGTAATCTAATGATTATAAAACAAGCTCAATATGTTTAATGAGCTTCTCTAGACATGTAAATATCCAGTACTACGGAATTTTAAGCTAGTTCTTTTAGTAATCTTTCAAGAAATATTTTGTGTTATTAAGGAGAAATAGTGGAAGATATTTTTTAGGTGTTGATCAAGATCATATCAATTCAAGTCACCTTAAAAGCCTGTCTGTGTGATTAAAAAAAAGTCTGTCAAGAAATGTTGGTGTTTAAACCACTCTAGAAGAATTCCCAAATAAAACAGAAAAAAATACTTTCCGTAACCATTTAATTCTACAGACAATTGTAACCAGCTAAGGTATTACCTCAAATTAAGATATTAATGTATTAAGTATTAGAATTGGTATAGCACAAAACTTGAAAATTAAAAAAAACAATACACGTTTTCAAAACTTTTGAGTATACATTTTTTTCCTGTAAATTGTTATACAACATTGCTTAGCTGAAAAAAAAACGTGCTTCATTTCTGAAAGGGATGAATGTCAATGTTTTCACAGTTTTCTTCAGAAACCCACACATTTCAATGAAATAATGAAACAAAAAATTTATCAACGTTTTAACCAATTTATTTACAATCATACGTACACTTTCGATCTGCCGTTAATTCAAATTCACAGTGCTAAGCACGAATTACAGATCGTTGTTAATTACTAATTTAATAATTTATTTATATAGGTGCATTTGACTAAGTAAATCACAGGAGATAACTGTTAAATAGTTCATAAATTATTTTTTCGAAACATTACATTTTTTTAGCATTAGAGGACATAATTGAAAATGATGTGCTCAAACATAATTTTTTAATATACATTTAATTTTAATATACATTTTCTTTTAATGTAAAAGCTGATAATATCGTACTAAAGTTAGTAATGTTATGATATTAGTTATAACTTGGTTGAATATTTGGTTAAACTTTGATCATTCATCAAGTCCACATCAAGAGATATAGTTTTAGTGGTAAACGCATCTATACATTCATTTAGTTCATCGAACGTTTGGCAATAAACGAAACTCTCGGGATTGACTCCCTTGAAGGTGGTTATGACTGACTTCTTCAGATTCATGAAAACAATCGGTTGATTTCTATTGGCAAAATCACTAATTAGCAGCTTCATACCCTAGAAAAATTTATATAAAGTAAATTAAGTAGCTGTCTAGTATAACGTTTTATGCCAAAATTACACCAAGCAAATTAAGATTTATGAGATACAATTATTTAACTTTGGTAAATTATTAGTATTAGAATTTTCACCAACCGTCTGATTAATACTTATGTATATGCAGTACTCGACCAGCCACAGTTTATTGCTATCTCAAATTGATTACTTATGGAATTACAATTTCGAAAGATAAGTTTAACGAATGCAAATATGAGTTCCAGCTGATAAATTATAAATAATATCTTATTATGCTTGTCATTTTTATACTGATGTGATAAAGTGTTTATTGAAGGATCGTGAGAGGAATTCAATGGAACGATAATCGCGTATGTTAGAAAGTCACTCTAATCACTTTGAGCTTTTCTAGTGCATCTTCAAAATATTAGAATTTTCTCTGTTAATATATACGCTACATCTAGTCAGTAAACAGATTTTATCAATTTGAAATTGCAGATTCGCATGTGGATTACTGTGAAAGACTCACTTTTGCGGCTGTATAATCCGCAGCTTGAATGTGTTTTGCATCAATAACAACAGGAACTGCACTTAAACCTTTCTTTATAGATGCTTTTGTGATCACATTTCTAACAAATTCTACCGATGGAAAGAGAACACTTCTGTCAGGTGTTATCAGAAGGTAATCGTGGCCCACATTCGTCTAAAATTAAACAATGAAAATATGTAATTAAAATTTTGGGAAAATTGTTCACTCAGTCAGTCACTAATCGAATAACATATTTTTTATTTGCTAATTTTGTAACTCGATATCCTTATCCTATTGAGGATGGATCAACTTGAACATTTCAGATATTTAATTTGAATTTAGCCATAATACGTTTGAAGCAACTCTTCATTTTATATTGGGGGTACAAAAATGCCCAATTTTATTTCTCCCAATAGCCTGACTTCATACAAATAACTATAAGTATGAGTTCAGGCAATTATACGTGTGCTAAAAATTAATTTCAAATCGTCCATAAATTTTGCTATCTAAAGTGACTTCATAAATTATTTGCTGGTAAAATGCAAGATATTTGAATGTTATCAGTGATGTTGATAACTATATTTAATGAGCACTGGGATTATGACTTCGAAAACATCGTCTATCTGCAAAATCCAATCTAAGTATTTGTGAACAATAAAATTTACCTTAGATTTTTCAATGTTAATTGAAGGTCGAGCTGTCGCATAAAGCAAAAATGCTAAATTGATCGCTATTCCAATACCAATTCCAATTTCAAGTCTGGTAAATAAGCATCCGAAAAATGTCGCTGAGGCTGGGATGAGATCAATTTCTAAAAATGCGAATGATAGTAAATATATCAGAAGTTTCAGGTATTGTATGGTATAGGTATTTTATTCTAATAGCTGCTTAGAAGCTTCAAGCATCTCAAAATGTTATTACTAGCAACAAGAACAGAAACAAAACATTTTATTCCAGTCTATGATCATCTATCATTAGTTCTCTAAAAAATCGGTACCTACTCTTTGTTTTCCATATGGGTCCTAAAACATGCAACTCTATCATAAAAGCTACAGCCACAATAATAACAGATGCAAGGGCTGCTTTAGGGATATAGTAGAACCAGGGAGTAAGAAATTTTAACGATAAAATTACTACAATAGCCGTATAGACTCCGCCAAATGTGGTTCTAACACCGCTCGCATGATTCACCGCTCCTCTGGATAGAGCCCCAGATACTGGCATCGAGCTTACAAATGAAGATGCAATGTTACAGAATCCTAGAGCCAACATTTCCTGTGTTGAGTCTATTGACCGGCCTTCACCTAAAATTAACTTTTTTATCATCTTTAAAAGGTCAAATCCGATATTTTTCATAGACGTATTGACTTACTGTAGACTTTGGCAATGGCATAATTCTGCAAAATTGATAAAATAGGAACAATGATGATGGCAGATCCGAGAGTTGAGGCCATGTCGAAAAAGGTGTAACTTTTACCATTCACTTCGGTACTAAATGGTGGCAGACTAACGCTTGGTAAACCCGGCTTGACAAAACCTGCAAAATTAATTATTTTATTAATTATATCAGATGTTTTCTTGACTGATTTGGCGCCTTCAATTATTTGCTCTGGATTTATTTTAGATAAACTTTGCACTTTCTGTACTACTCTTGCCAATATCCAATGTGCCTTTCACATACTTATTTATTTAATAGTCATGTTTTTAAAAGTAAACAACGATTCTATTATTCCTACAAATTTTAGACTAGATAGACAATAGAGTAACCAATAATTTATTTTATCAGTGACATAATCTTCTTTATTTTTATATCAGGCGTTTGTTTATAACCTATTCAAATACCCGGTATTAATTTTGTGCGATTAAATAACTTAAATTATATTGTCTATGCGCCAGAAATATATATAAAGCCGATTTCTCTATATACAAAATATACGATTACCAATTTAAAGGTTACTTTAACAACTCATTAATTTACTTTGCTTTAGAATGCAATATTGTTTAGGTAGGTATTAATTTATTTCTTACCAGTTAAACGAAATGGTGATGTGCCTTGCGATTCAAAAGCGTAAGCTACTGATGCAGATATAACAACCACCAGAAGGTTCCTAGAAGTGGCTAAGAACCAACAGGCCCCATTTAAGATTCTGTGGAACGTGGAGTTTTCTTCGCTTCCTTGTTGAAGATATTTGATATCTTTGAGCTTCTAAAATAAACGTTTATTCCGATTTTTGTGACTATTAACTGACTCGTTAATAAATAGGAGAATACCAAAAGCAGAAGCCATGAAGAAGAATTGGGCAAATAATGTTTTGGTTTATTTATGTATGATTGATTTGCGTTAGTTGATATTGATAGATTGACAGAAGCTTTACCTTTGTATTAAAAGTTAATCCAATTAATTATTATTCAAAAGCATTGATTTACATAAAAATAGAATGTCCAAAAATTCTTTATTATATACTCTATATTCTAATATTTAAAAGCTGCATTCCTTACATTGCATGTCCTTACATTGCATTTTCGTATTAAAAGTCTGTTCGATTATATTTCTTATTTACTTACTTTTAATATCACTAAACATATAATAGCCAGAAATCCCATGGCGCAATCGGGTCCACTTATTTCTGTAATATGTTCATAAATTTGCTTCCACACAAGAAGAAAATTATCCCCTGGATGGTCTAATCCTAACAAATCCTTTACCTGCGTGGTGGCTACTATAATAGCAGCTGCAGAAGTAAAAGCTACAGCTACTGGGCCAGATATAAAATCTATTAAGAAGCCTAAAAGAACATAAAMAGTTTTTTCATTGTTTGAAAAAAATGCAGTATAATTTATTTTATTATAGGTTTAATACTCATTATCTATAGTTTCAAAATAAAAATTTATCAAGGAATGATGTTCAATATTTTCACGAGCGATTTATTAGGTGTTTAACTTTATATTTTATATTAGGTAATAATTTGGTTTTTAGTTCTCCGATCAATAATACATAATAAATTGAGAGTAAAACTTTGATTTAGATCTTTACTATATGAAATGAATAGATAAAGCTATTTCTTATTGTACTACGTTAGCAGCTATTAAACAGATAATTCTCGAAACGCATCTAAACGAGAATGGACAATTTTACAAAATTCATTAGTTCAGACACCAAAATGCATGTTTGAACCAAAGCGGATTTCCTCTACTTGCTAATTTTATGTATTATTATAGACAATTAACATCAAAATATAATTTACTCGATAAGTCCGTTTAAAAGAACAATAGCATTCAAATATCAAAAAAACCAAACATCTTTTATGTTTTGCCATGCATTTATTTGCATATTTTTTTGTTTTAATGTGGACCTAGCAAGTAAATTTTATTTTCACATCATAATATGTATGATAATATATAAAATTAACAAGCAGCAACAAAGCAAACTCAGTTCAAACAGGCATTTTCGAAAAAGAAAGAAGTTATTATTTCAATACAAGTTCTTGAGAACCGTTTGGTATTTGTTATTTAAAGAAATACCTACATGAAAGTCGACATAAACCCATCGGACAAATTTAATTCAGCAAATAAATATGTTGCATATGAATTAGACTGAAAGTTGTAATTTTGAGTTTTATAACGTTCAAACCATCCCTCTTATTCAAATAGTTTATATTTTTAAAATAACAAAAAATGTCATTCTCTTAATAATGAAAAGTTTCAATGACTGATCCTAAGCAAACAAAATAAATTTGCATTGGTTCAATTTAACTCTTAAGTTTATTGAAAAAATACGCGGAAACCAATTGACTTGACAATATTCAATTTAATTGCATGCCAATGATCGTAAGCTGTTAATTTAATCGTTATTATGATCTTGCGTTAAAAAGATGACAACTTTTTTTAAGTAATCCAATTATTGAATACTAGATTAGCAAAAACATCTCCCAGTTATAAATAGACTAATTGAAATATATTTTTTGAAAGTGATTAAAATTAACTAAAACTAGATAGACAAAAAACTAAAATACATAAATCCAAATAATGAAATACCTAGATGCAATATTCCCATTGCCAGTTCCACGCAGCCACTAAGGAAGCATAGTAAAATTGCTCCTGCCACTCCCAATTCGTGCTTGTTTTCCCTAACCAGCAACCCTTCTATGGCTGTGGGACCTATGGGTGAATCTTTGCTGCTTCCGAAAATTGCATAGACAAATGGACCAACAATTGAGGAATACAGACCTAAAAAATACACGTTTGATGTATTTTCCAGCTTCGTCTATGATATCAACYACAATATTTATAGCTTCTTGTTCGCAAGTATAGCTGAACTTACAGAACTTACTTTTTGCTCTAGTTTGAAATATGCAGTCTTTAAGTGAACAGCTTTGGAACGTGTTTAGAGATTAAACAATAAACGATATTTAATTAACTATATAATTATTTAMAGAATGTGCTAAGCATATGTTTACCAATTTGGGCAGGTAGTCCTGCAACACTGGAATAAGCGATGGCTTGTGGGATGATGGTAAGTCCCACAGTAAGTCCAGCTAGGAAGTCGGATAGTGCTGTCTCCCAAGTATAATTTGGCAAATAACCAAATATTGGCACTCTCTTTTTTAAAGTCTTTGTACTACATGTTTTTCTTGCATGATATTTCATCCATTCTTTCATCGAAAATGTTTCCCTTGGAGGATAGATTAGACTGCCAGATCGATGTCGCAAATTTTCCGTTAGGTCCAAAGTTGTATCAGAAACTAATCGAAGAATGCAAATCAACCACACTTACATGAATTAGTAATAAATAAAGCACTCACTTCTCTTTTCACTGGTTGCTATATCGTTGTCCATAATAACATCGGAATTTTCCCATTTATCGTTTTTAGTCATTTGAAATTGCTGAAATATATTAACTATGTTCTCTGGGTTATCACCGATGATATAGGAAGTAAGGACGACTTTCTTTTGGCACCTCATCGTTACGGTTGTTATTTTCTAGTTTTGATTATTTCAAATTAGACCGATTTTTGCATCACGATATTTTCATTGGTTGCGTGCCACCTGAAATCATCAAAATTGATATGATTGAATCATTTGTTGCATAAGTGATCATTGATTGAAACCAAATTGGCTACAATTTAGTTTTTATTTAGAATACATGTATTCACATAAGAAAAACTGACGAATTTTTAATATCTACTAGGTATTTTTTAAGTTATAAGTGGATTGGGTTCGAAGAGTTAACGTATAAGTGTAAGGGCGTAACATGTTAATCGCAGCGAAAATTCTTCAAGCAATTGTTCTTAATTAAACCCTATTTTGCTCGTATATTATGCAATTATTTTTAATTTGATCGGATCGGATATTAGCGGCTTATATTTAGGTGTTTTCAATTCAAAAAAGTCACAATTTGTTTAAAAATTAAGCTATATACTTACGCAGTTTCCTTTGTGCACTGAACAACGATAATGCAAATTTAAAAAAAGGCAGATTAAATAAAATGGGGAAATGTCTGAAACGGTTGTTAATGATCCGAAACGATCGATAAGTGATTAGTTTGATTATTGGTGATGGACTGAATCATTTTTCTGTGCAAGGTAAAATAGTAAAATTGTTGCTCACTGGCCCTTGGTAAAATGAGAAAAAACCGCAAACTGATTTGATTTTTCCGTTATGTTTTTCGCATTTTTCCTTCCTGAAGTGGGGAAATTCATTTGCAATGAACTTTAATTTCTCTCTTTCTCTCACTTATTACCTACATAGTTAAAAAATATTTGTTTGGGTTATTAATCGAATTATGACTGGTGTAATTGTTCAAATGACGAGTATTGAATAAAAAACATGTTATCAAACTTTTATACTTTTAGTGGTTCGCCATCAATGCAAACGATTTTCACTTTAAAACTTAATAATTTTTGAATTATTTTTCATGATTTTTACGTTGGACGTCGATTTAGTTTGTAAACCTATTTTGTTAAACAGAAAAATAATTCTTTAATACTGATTTTTGTAGAACTATTTAAGCCAGTATGTTCACTTCAGAAAATCAGTCAAGAGTTTCATATTTTAACAGGTAATATTCGTTACGAGTTTGAGCCCAGAATATAGTTTTATATACTAACCAACTGCTGGAAACACAAACTTCTTGACCAGTTAATTTCCGACTGGTTTTCATACATATATTTACAGTGTTAATTGTATAATAATGCAATTAAACAACTATCAATCAATTGAAAACTCGATCCTTGAGGTGAACCACTCAAAATTTGCACATATGTTGAGCCTAAAAATATTATTAATGAGTAACGTCGTCAAAAGATACTAAGAGCTTTTGTCTGATTTAGTCCGGTGTTAGAAACTTAATAAAGTTATGATTCTGTCAATAACCTCAACTAAAAGAGTTAATAATTTGAAAAATCTGCTAAAGTGGTTTTCGTGCAAAGCCTTTACCAATCAGTTAAAATCACATCGGTCATGTATTATCTTCAGTAGAAGGTTTTGGTGCGAGATTGTAAAAAATATTTCATGCATGCATATTTTGAAACTTGCTAAAGTATTTGTAGAGTAGATCCATAAGAGCCTGAAATGGTTTCTAATGAGTTCCGCGCGGATGTAAAATATACGAGTGAAGTACAAATGCAGATTAGCACATTTTAACTTACTTACATATGAACTGTTTATGAATAAACTATTGAATGAAACTCTTGTGGTTTTATAAATGCACAAGTACTTCTTTCTTTTATTAATTATTTGTTATATTATTGCTACCCGTAACAATTGTTGCCATATTTTGTGGGGGATGTCGGATTATATCGTCTGGCACTTGTTGAATCGAAAGACTGAATTTCAAAAAAGCAAAAATGTTGAGTGTCTACCCTTAAATCAGATAAGTTCTCTCGATTGTTTTCATTGAGGATCTGCACAAAAAAATAGAAGTACAAAAATACGAGCTAAAACGATTTAAAGCAAAAACGAGCACGACTATTACAGAAATCATCGAATTGTTAGTACCTACAAATTTTTCGTTTGTTTGTTCGATGCAGAATTTCTAACAGCAGAAAACATGCTTGTAACAGACAATGATAATCTCATTCATCAGATTAAACGCAAGAATCGCCTTCATAAAATAATTAAAAAATATGTACTGTTAGTGTGCTGAACACTTAATGCAGGAGTTTAGGACTAGTGATTTCACTTCAGACTACTGAAACGTAACAGAAAACGTTTTCCCTTCAATTTTTTTTCCCTAAATACCAAGAGCAAATTCATTTTACACCATTAAGGGGGTATTTCAAGATATAAATAAACACTTAATTATTTTAACTATTTTGTAATCTCACGTAATTAGAAGACACCATCACTGCACTTCTTGATTCGAAAATGCAGACATTTTTTATTTCTGCTTTGTACATTGTGTGCAACTGTTTTCTTGTCATCTGAATCATCCCAATTAGCAATTGTTATGCTAAATTGAATTTTGCAAGTGGTATTGTCAATGTAATGAAGGTTGACTAGTGCTTTGTGCTGAATGATTCCCATCGGACCAATTTTGAGTAGCAACCAAAAAGTGATAATCATCCATGCAGTCAACAGAAAAGAGGGAAATGCATCCTAACCATAACAAATCCATTTTATAATTAGACTGGCGTTTTAATTGTATTAATTGGAGGACTCTTCTCAGTAGTAATTAGTAATGCAATTATAATCAGCAAACTATTAGAGTGCAGTTTGGTAGTCAGGTCCTAAAGCTGGAATTTCTCAAAATACGACGTAATACTTAATATCTCTTGGAGATATTCTGATATTTAATATTATTTTCTCCGGATTCATTGAAGCTAATAGAAAGGTTTTTTTTCTAGAGTTTAGTGTTCAGTAAATGTAAATGTAAATGTAAATGTAATTACTGTTCAGTAAATGTAAATTATATTTAATTTGTTAAGGCAAAGTTTTCGGTACATTTCATGTCAAATACGGCGATTATTTGCTTACTTAACAAAAGTGAGCTGGAGATTTAATTCCTGCACTGTTTTTGAACGCAATCTAGACAATTCTTGAAAAACTGGGTTTTGATAAGTTTTTACTTCTAGCGTAAGCATTTTCAGAAAATAAATGATTAATTCAAGCAATTGCAGATTAAGGCTGTAACCCAAAAACGACAGATCGTTAGATTAAATCTTAAACGCCTGACACTAATTAATGCGACAACCTCTAATTATACACGGTTAAGAAATGATAATCCGTTTAAAACATCTTCGAAATTGTACCTAATTAACTAGTTGGTAAGTTGTTAAATAACAAGTCGGAAAACACTGTTTAATAAATATTTCTTCTAATTATATTTAACTGTTAAAGTACTGCAATCTGCCAAATGCAGCATCCCACAACCAATTGATTGGTAATTACACTAATCAATTAATTTGTTGATGGAATATTTGTTCAAATATGTTTTGTAAAATTTATAAATTAACTAATTAAATATTAATATCTGCAAAGTCCGAGTCAAACAATATAAGAAAATAGTTGGTTAATACAGGATTTAACTTTCTAAACTAAAAAATATGATTATATGGCCTGCATGCCAACAAGCTACAGTATATATTTAAATTTTATTTAAATATATACTTTTATTTAAATTATTTTTATTTAGTATATTTTAAAAAATGTACATGCCTTTTTGAAGCATTTTGTATATTATTCTGTCTTTTGTGCAAAATAAGTATTCAACCTTCACAACTACAAATAAGTATCATTGTCAATTTTGTCCCCAAATATTCACAAAAGCATTCGCTTAAATAATTAGCTATTAGAAGCAAATTTTTGATCAATTTATTTCCAAACTTTTAATTAAGAATCGAACAAATTTGATTAATTAATATGTGCAAATTGGAATAAACTTTGGCCGCTTTATTAAAATAACTGTCATCTCTGGGTAACTTTCTAATTGCAACATTAAAATACAGTAAAAAGTCAATGCTATTTTTAAATTTACTTTATTTAGTATTTTCAATAGCTAGAAACCTCTCTTAATAGACCAACCGATAAAAAGTTTTGTGTTTCATCCGTTATCCCCAAAACCTACATAAATATTGGGTCCAAAATATTTTTGCGACCATCTCTGAAGATGCAAGTCATTCGCCCTTCCGAAACGTTAGCTTTAATTCAATTCCATGAACCGAAAGCGGTGAACTCGAAATAATACCGCATCTCGCAATGTTCCTGTTCGTTTGTGTTTTGTGTGTCTTGAAATGAAAGTATAATACAGTCTTAATATTGGTGTTATTAATTAAATGTTACAAGTTTTCTATACTGAAAGATCTACACAGTCGGAAACTGAATACAATGTGACTTAAACTTGAAAACTGTTTATTTGGACATGGCAAAGTAAGTTCAATGTACGTTACAATTATGTAGGTAATTAACTTGAAGGATTAATATTTATTAAACAATTTCAGATACCGTTGCAAAAATATTTCCTAATTTCTATTGAGTAACGGTTTGAATTGTGCACTGTCAGCACTAAAGTTTCTAAATAATAAATGATAAACAAAAGGTTTTTGCAATTTTTTTTAAAATGTGTATCTTCTCTCCATTTTGGAGAATTCATGAATGTTTCGAATAAATCAATGGTAAAGTAATAGAATGTTACGTAGTGTAAAAAGTCGATTTTTATTTATACTAACATTGATTATCCCACGAAGAATTAGACATGTATATGGGAGCAACTTTTACTTTGTCGGCCGCAGGAGATACACGGACAGTGCGAGGAAATCGTAAATTTGAAAACAAATTTATTTAATTAAAACGACTTCAGCTCTTAGGGTTTCTGGAATAATTTTATGTTGGATAAATAGTATTAAAACTAATTGTGATACTGCGTCGCATTGTTTTTTCTTCTTACCAACTTCCTTCCAATGAACGTCTAGCGGTTCTGAGGATCCCACAGTACCTACACAAGATAAAAAAACAAACTTTTTCAAGATAGCCTTTCCAGTTTATTATGATTTTTCTCAAACCCATTTTGTGAAATATTTCCTTAATGCATATGAACAGAAATTATCACTATTTCTCAATTGGAGTCCAAATAAAAAGTTGTGGATTTCCGAGGTTCAATGCTCAATCACTTCTTAAATCAGGGTTTTTCGGGTAAAAATTTGATGAATTGAGTAAGTTACAGTTTCTGTTAACTACTATACATTGACTAAGTCGTTAGATAGTAAATTATTCAAAAATACGTTTATTACTAAATAAACGTATGCAACTGAAACGTAGGTACTTACCTCCAAATATTCCAAACTGGAAATGATATTGAAAAAACAACCGGTCCTCTTGATGATCGAAAAAGAGAAAATATAGGTCAAAAATGGAAAACTTGAGGTTCTTTCTGAATAAAAATTTTTGAAGCGATTTTTATCAGCGCTTATGTTCTAGTATAACAATGGATTTTTTATTAACACAATTCAAAAACTAGATGAGATTTAATGACTAGTTTATTGACTAAATCGGCAAGAAATTGAGGGCAATAATTTGTAGAAATTAGCTGCTGCAAAATATTAGTAATCCTGTCACTTAACTGATCTATATTCGAAAGCAGATCCTCTACAATCCCATCTAAATCACATAAAAAAACGTCGGCCTTTTATTTCTAAAAGTCGTCATCACTATTGGGCTCTGGCATTTTGCTGCCAGTCTTTCTGCCTGATGGAGCTCTTCGGTCTATTGCAGATAATTCAAGAGCTAGTGATTCATCTTCTGAGTGCATCAACTCTGGTTCTTCTTTATTAATAAACAAGTCAGTCTCAGAATCTGAACTGAGATCAAGAGATGATTGGCTGTCTGCCATAGGCGGCTGCATGGATCCAAACGTTTTGCCTCGTGATTTGCGACCTAAAGGAAACACCCCATTATTTTTCTTAGATGTACGGTTTTTTCACATCTACCTGCGGTACTGGCTCTAGGTCTTTCCTGTCGATTAATAGCACCTTGTCTTTCTTCAGTATTTTCCATTTCCAGAAAATCGTCATTTCCTTCGAATTTGTCTAATGGAATGGTCGGCACTCGGGGAGATGTAATTTGCATCTGTTTCTCCAACTGTATTCGCTCTGAGTCAGAAAACTGCTTTTCCAGTTGGTTTAGACATCTTAGCCTAACAGAATACTGGACGAAAAGCTGCTCCAGTTCTTGTTCAAGTTCAGTGAATTCTTCTAAGAACGCTGGCCTAGAAACAGCAAAAAATGAATTTGCTTTTTCTACTTCAAACAAAGAACTACTTCAACAAACAAAGATATTATTAATGAGAGTAAATAGACGAATCCGCGATTAAAGAATAATTTATTTGAAGGAAATAAAGCAATTTCTTGCCTGACTTTTTTTAAAGTTTGCAACCGTTTTTCGTAACGATCCAACTCGATCTTTCTCCGTTCAATCTTCGAGTCTAAACTGGCTTCAGTTGCTGCAACGTTGTCAATTAATTGTTTAGTCTCGCTTATTTCCTGATTTATTGACTCTATCGCTTTCTTTACACCTGCCTCCACCTCGGATAACTCGAATTGTCTGCCCATACTTCTCTGTCTAGCTGACTACAAAAAATATGTTATTCCTCGGAGTAGCAAATAGATGTTTGGGAGATTCATTTTCAAGTTTGAACTTTAGAATATTGCATTTTACTGTGAAGCTAGTAATCTTTATTTAACCGTGTCCAAATTCTGTTATATTTTTAATGTCTTACTCTAAGGTCCACTTCTTTACCAAGAAGATCAAATAATGTTGCTCCAGTGCTCGTTATTTCGCTCGCCAATTGCCTGGACAGCTTGAGATCGTTTACCTAAATATAAGATCTTTTTAGACGTTCATGATATTTTCTCGGGGAGCTTACGCATTGGCCTCTAAATCAATTTATATACATATGTAATCTTACCTTATCGGAAATATCAAAATCTCGATAACTAAAACTTTCTTCATTCATTTGATCTTCTTCATTCTCATCCAAGTTTACATTTAAGGCATCATAAAGAAGGGATGCAATTTTCAGCAGTTCCTTAACTGAATATCCATCTGCTTGATACAGGCGTTTTGTGTTTAGTTTAATGCTGCCTTTTAATGCCTACAAGGATTCAATTTGGACAGAAGTAGTTAGAACTGTTTATTGATGAAATTAAGGAAAAACAGTAAACAGATTAAATACCATAAATTGCGCAGAATTCCTAATAAGCTTTACTCTGTTTTCTTCTGTAGCGATTTCTAAAGGTATGTCCACATCTGGGTCAAACCGTTTGGATAACCATACAAGCAGATCTGCTACTAAAGGAAAATTGGGTTTGCGGAAACTTTCCATGGATACCAGCTTTGGGTATCCCAGAGCCCGAAGCATTTCAAGCAAATCTGTAAGTTTTGATTTCTAATACCCTCTTAATTACGATGTGCATAAATGTGATTGTATTTATTTGGAGTTTTGCTTAATTCATTGTTTTATTTTATGTATTTGGACTTTCTCAACTGCCTGACACAAACGTTGTTTAGATCACTAATCGAAAGCTGAAGAGTTTTACTTTAGGTAAATTGAAAAACTATTTTGCAATTAAAAAAATACCGTAATAAATGGGGTGCATTTCAACATACGAAACTTACTTCGAACGTCTCTAAACGACATCACTTTACGACCTTTTCGGAGGTGATTCCGCTCAATAATAAACAGTAATTGTGACTTTAGTTTGTATGTTCTGCTCTTGTTGTCATAGTTTCGATAGAGCAGGTGAAATACGCTGAATCAATTATGACATCTGCTTACTTAATTTTTATATACTGGGTGTTTCACTTTTGCATTTTAAATTATAAATATATGTTTTTCTTTCTGGGAGAACATTTAGTGAAGCTTAATTTACCTATTACCTATTGGTCAACTGGATTTTTACAAACTTTACTCATTAGTACATATTTCATATTTTTACAAAATAATAAAATTAAGCATGTATTAGAAAAACGAATGAAATTAAAATAGATTTAACAAGGGTTGAACGTTGTCTTACAACTGCGCCGTATTAAAGTATTACTTGCTTTTGCTGAAAGCCGTTTTACACAGAATTAGTGGAAATACTGGTAATTATGGTTGCGGATTTAGTGTGTAAGTTAGATGTAGTGTGGGGCGTCTTATGCGAAATAAATAAGAAATAAAGAAAGATATTTGTATGTAAGATTTTGCAAACGTTAAAATCCTCGAGACTCGAAAATACTAATACAGAAAGTGCTCTGATTTGAACTTGTCGGCTAGAAAATAATCAAGTATAGAAAAGTATTCACAAAAAATCTGGGAAACAATGGCTTACCTCAATGCATTCTTGGTGTAACTTTGTTTGGAAGTCTCAAAAAGTTAGTTGCCGAATAATCTTAGGAAAACGCTGAAAAGGCAAATGCGTCGGAACCAAGAATTATTCTTTCGGGAGAAGCGTGTGCATGAATTATCTTTCGTGAACAAAATGCAAAATCACTATTTGGTTGAACTAATATCAAGCAATTTTGCAGTAAACAAATGAAAATTCTTACTGACGTCTTTCGTGAGGTTTGCTAACTTTTGCTGAATGATACCTTTAAAAGTTTAAACCAACATACATGCCTGAAATAAGAAAGTTAGGACAATTGTAGATATAGATCGCCCGTCATGTGAGGCGTCTAACTAAAATATGCATTTAAAGCTAAGTTACTAACCTTTAAGTCCTGTTTATAATATGAAATTTTGTTCTCATATCACACCACGCGATTTGTATATTATTGCTGCGCCGTTTAAAAACGTTGTGTCCATTATAGTTCTGTCGATTTACTTGCTTTTCAACTATAGTGAACTAAAACTTCTTTCGAAAGCCACATAATTTTACAAGTTTGCAACTTCGAACATCTTTGCAACTGTTAAGAGCACTTATTTGTTCTGGTAATGGAACACGCTTTTTTGTTGTACGAAACACCTGTTTGAGTTCTTTCTACTTGATTCAAAAGTTCTATAGCTATTGCCGTTTGAGGCATTAATATATTTACCGAAAGCTGCAAATTATTAAAATAATCTTCAAACTTTTCACTCACTGTTCTTAATAAGGCATGGCATTGAAAAGCACTTAATAAAATAATTAATTTATTACCAAACAATAACTAGCATAGTATAAATAAATAAAATAAATAATAAATTAAATATGTAATGCATAAACATAGGTATGTATCACTCAAATTGGCAGCAGTATAGCTGGTTTTCTAAAATAGTAACAATATATATGTACACATAAAAGGTTACCTTTTAGACGTTTTACGAAGTCAGGCTTTAAGCAATAAAAATTAATAATCAAGCGAATACATTTAAATACCTTTCGAAATAGTACGCAAATATGAAATGGCAAATAGGCATAATTACATGTTAGATATAAATTAATCTAAAACTATACGCATTCTACATTGTATAGTTTTACGCATTGAAGATTTAAGTAAAAATGTGTGTCTGTGTGTCCTAATACTTTTAAGTTTGTATTGTTCTATCTATGTCTGGTCTAGTCATATTTAAGTCTAGTAAATTAATATTTGTTGCATGTATGAACAGAACAAGGCCAATTAGGTTAATCATTTACTAAAAAAAAACGGAGAAATAATCTCAAAATTCGGTGGGTTTTATCAAGCCCTTCGATTGTCTATAGGAAGGGACTCAAATGAAGGCGGTAATTAATTCTATTTCCGGGTTAATCGAGGCATATTTGCGAATATATTCAATTTATTCACATGTGTTTTTTTTTTCAGTTTTAATTGCATTGTTCTCTTCAACTTCCAACGACGACAAAAAATCGTTTAGCAATGATATCGTGTTTTGTAACATGTCAGTTGCAGGTATACCCTGAGGATTCAATTTATGTCTGTCCGTAGGCTGTTTGGTCTGTGACAAAGGAAAATTGTGTCAAAGCTGTTTCGTTCTTGAGTAATCTTGCGTAAACAGCAAAATAACAAAATTTCTGGTCAAAAATAGGAGAACTCATGGTCAAGTCGTGCAGTTAAATCGTCCAATTATTCAATGTCGGCAAATTTTAGTAAACTTGCATTAGTCTCTGTCCAGTCTATGCACCAATATGTCAGTAAAGTCTAGTGAAATAAATGTCGTATGTTGACTAAATGTTTTATATTCGTCATTTAATTATGGTAATGAAATTAATGTTCATCCGTGTGGGACAATGTATTGAAAGAGTCTATCTGTAAGTTGGTCCATTTGAAATAGATTGCGATCATCTTTAAATGCAATTATATTATATTTATATTTAGTCACACAAATCAGGTCAAAAGTTTAGTGTTCTTGTAAAGGTGATTTGATTTGTCAATTCGGAAGTAGAATACAAATGTTTTAAGTGGGTAGAGTTCGGTAAAGTCTGTGGAAATTATCAGTAATTACGAACTGAAAATATGTCCTTATTCTAAGTCTCATTCCTTTGCCGTATACATTTGTAGATTAGCAACTAATAAATGTTGTCAGTCATGTTTAAGTTTGTGGTTTACATTTTTTCTGTGTCTAGTTTTCGAAGTCTGGTCAGTCTGATGTTATTTTTTTGTGGGTGGTTAAGTTGCGATATTTTTCGATTTTAATGTCGACTTTGTTTTGTATAGTACGCACTGTTTTTCTTTTGCGTTCGTTTAATTACGAGTAGTCAGTTTCAATAATTTCACACGGATTTATCTATACGCCCTGATTAATTCTAGAATTTCGTTGTCAAGTCAATTGTAAAGTTGTAGTATATTTGAGGTCATCGTGTGCAAACAATGATAGCAAATTAGTAATATGCAACAGAGTTTATCGTAAGAAATCTTCAGTACTATTGAAATCAGTAAAATTCAGGGGACATTGGCGAAATGAAGTCACACAAATCAAGAACTTTGCGTCAATATTGCCCCAGTTTGCACTTATTTAATTATCGCACTTATTTAATAAACTAACTATAAATAACATTAAATGTAATTTAAACAAAAATTACCCTAATAGAGCATATACAATATGCAAAAATCACACAAATCAATCGTCCAATAGATGAACATTCATTACAAAATGTAAATCTTAGTCACCTTGAAACTATGTATTTGTAGTCAGTCAGTTTGTCGGTGAGTATTATGTAGTGTCCAGTATTATTTTGCGTTTGTCCATTTTTACAGTCTCTACTCTTATTAGCAGTCAGTATAGTATATTTATGGAGGCCCTACCTAGTTAGATTTTGTCGGTCAAGATATCATTGGTTTCGGAACTTCGAACGAACAAGGAACGTTCATGGGGAGTTCGGGAACTTCTCTAGTAGATGGATCTTCCTCCGTGCTATTGAAGAATTTCCACTGACCACTGGAAACATTTAAAGAATTGCTTTGTTAGCTTTTGATGGTTTAAACTATTCTATAACATATAATATAACTCTATTTAGTTTAAATGCATTAATAAGAATGCAAAAAGAAGTACATAAACTGCACTGTAAAATTCAAGCATTCGATTTTTTGCGTTGATAGTTAGGAATTATAGAAACAACTAACTAAAAAAAACTAATTAATTAATAGGAGCAACTTGCCAGTAAATTGCTAGCCTCACAGAAAAATTCAAAATTTTTCAATTGAACTATAGTTGCGCCTAAAAATATTTCTTGACTGAATAAACCTAAACAAAAGGTGACACTTTTAAAAATTATTTTCCGGCGAGTGAACATTTACCTTTTCAATTAGTTCAAGTTTTCCTTGCAGCACTAAAATGCACAACTTTGCTTACTATATTTTAAAAATGTTGGGAGTATTTAAGATTTGTTGTTTAATGTATTATTTGTTTCATCTTTCGTATTGCTTTTTTTGTTTTTTCTTTCTGTCTATTCTTATGTTTAATTCGTTTTGTATATAAAATATATTTCAGATTTTCTTTGGCAATAAGCAAATTTTGGAAATATTTTTGAAGGAATTGCCATAAATGGATTGACTTTATAATACAGTGTGTGAAGTATTTCTATTACCTGGATTCACTTGGTGTTACGTCAACATCTAAAACTCGCACTCTTTTCAACCTCCGGCTGGATCCTTTGATTGGATCATTTCCAACTCGCGCCAAGCTCTCCACCTTCTTGACAACTCCTAATTTTATAAACTTCTTTGCGTCTGTGGGGTTTTCACTGTTCACGCTTTGATCGAGAATCCGCGATTTAAAATCCAGTTTGTCGCTAATAACAACTCCTGGTTTTAAATCAATAGCCGAAGCCCGATTAGTATCTTTTACGTCCTGGTCATACCTATCAAAGAACTCATTTGAAATATCATCTGATGGAGAAGTTTCGTCTCTGTTATTGTTACCACCCACGATCACACTTTCGTCATAATCTTCAAATGTACTTTGATAATTGGGCTTTTTCGTTTCAAAACTGTGGTACGAATTGGGATACGATGGTATGTTAGAAGAAGAAAATGGTATGTTCTCAAAGACAGTCGGTCTATAATAGTTTGTGCCACTGGAAATATATACTGGCTCTTTATCGTTGTCTGGTGTATAGTGTGCGTGATCTTCATTGTAATATGTGCTAGTCTGCCCAGAGTTTGATAACTGAGTGAACTCTAAAGACGGTCGTGGTCTATGACTATTAGAGGCAATTCCAAGTCCATTACTGTTGGGTCGTTTGAGTCCATTGGTCGTTGCATATTCCATGTTATTGAGGAAATATGTGGGTTTTACAGTCTGATGTAAATAAGTGTAAGGTTTGTCGTACGCCGGCTTGTAGTCGAAGGTGGGATAGCTGGTGTCATCAGGATGTTGCGTAGTCGCAGGTCGTCTTGTTGAAGTAGCAGGTCGGTTAGTAATTAGAATAAAGTTATTTTCTTCGTACGATGGGCTTGGTGTATGAGTGTGGGTCAAGGTAGGTCTTGTAGTAACGTAGTTAGTTGATGTGCTGCCTGGTCGCTTCTTTTTATTGTAGACGTAAATAGGGTTTGATGTCGTTGATTGAGGAATATAATGTATGTTAATGTTAAGTTGCACTGAAGGGTTTGCGGGTGGTTTTGTAGGTCTTCCCGGTACTAATCCTAAAAGATATGTAACGTCATTGTGATCACTGTCCTGTATCTGGTAGTAGTTTCCAGGTATCGTGCTTGGACGAGTAGTTGAAGACTGGCCAAAGGTTGGTCTGATCGGTAAGTTGTTAAAATTCCCATATTTCCACTCAGCTGATGTGCTTTTGTCAGTCCCAGTTGGTGTACGTACAGTTGTTTTTACCTTGTCTAGCTTCTTAATAGTAGTTCTTCGAGGTTTTGCAGTAGTGTCTTTCATTCTATGTCTGTCAGTCTTAGTACTCCGTTTAAATCTAAATTCCCGTCTAGTTGGTAGTCCAGTAATACTTTCGTCACTTACAGTTGTCACTAAGTCCAATTTCCTCCCACTTTTATGGGATCGTTCCGACTCGAAAGAATCTTCAACATCATCGTCAATGTTATTCAATTCGAAAGATGTTTCAGTCCATGGGGCCAAATCGAAATTTCTAATTTCAGGATTATCGCATGAAACCCTAGCATTTCGGGAATTATCCGCTGACAGAAACGGAAACGGTTGGATAGTTTCCACTTCATTCATAGTTTGGCATATAATCTGAGATAGTGACGTTTTCCTTATCTGTTGCAACTGTGCTGGAGATAATGAAGACTCAACATCACCGTTCTCATGCCAAAATCGGTCCCCTTTGCGCAAATTGGCAAACTGCTGTGCTATTATGCAAGCAAATGTTGGACCAACCACGCCTCCTTTTAGAGGTTTCTCAGCCAGTCCTGCTGTGAAAAGGTCCAAATCATCCACATGGCTGTATAAGCTCTTCAGTCTAAAAACCACGTTGATATTCATTACTTCTTGTAAATCGCGCCAATTTTTTATCGGCGATAATCCGCAAGGTTCCCGGAAGAACGTATAAGGTGGAATCCCATGATCTCTGCCCCGCTGTAAATTGACTGAGACCAAATCCATTCCGAAAGGAGACGAAAATTGGAACAGATGATTGGTTAATTCATTTGCTACAAACTCATCCCGTTTTTGGGACGGTTGATTTGCAAAGCCCAATAGTAAACGGTCCAGCGATCCAGGACTCCAAATATTTTCCATGTTGGCACTTTCTTCGTGGAGGGAAACATCTGGGGACACAAACATTTTCGGTAAAACGATTTATTTGCATTGATATAACTTACTGTTAAATAGAGGGATGTGGTGGCTGTCGCTTCGGATAAAAGAGTTTTGAACCAAGCTGTGGCCGAATCGAAATGCTGCGGTACTAAAGGAATTTGCAACTGCCGGGTTAATCCTTGGATTGTAGCTGTTGTAGAAACCTTTTTTCAAAAGTCTCAGACCGAATAGGTCCATTACTTCAGGTCCCAATACCACCGGCAAATATTCTCTGAAATTCACAAAACGGATGGTTTTATTTTCAATCGTAAAACCCACCAGAACTAATGTGTATTAGGGCAAACCGAAAAAAAAGCTTGAAAGTTCTGGAAATATTAATTTTGGAAGTTGAGGAATTTCAGATTTAGAGCTCGACAAATGCATCTAAGATCAAGGTTCTTATTGTTTGAAAATGTAAAATATTGGGGCATTTTCGATCTTTTTGTAAGCAATTTTGTATTGTGCATTGAATGCCTGCAATTAGGCCGGGTAACACTGTGTTGGGTTGCGCTATTGAGTTGTTGCCGCTCTCTGCGTTAACGAGTTATAACTCATCGGTTGATGAGTTATAAGTGATTTATTAAAGTTTTACGAGACCCGAGACTGGAATTTTCACATCTACAAAAGGTCATTTACATTTTTTCGGCGTAACGTTTTACTACTTTGTTCAAACGACTAAAAATGTCATCTAGATTTTCCCAGCAACGGAACTGAGTCCAAAGAAAGTCGACGAGTTTTCTTGTAAAATCGCTCTCTTAATTTTTTTGCATAAAAGATTAAGTTTGCCAGTATTTTACAGTAAAACGTTAGGTAAAACGCGATTTTTCTATTTAGAGATATTGTTGCTTAGAAATATTGATCTAAAAGTGAAGAAACGACAGTGTCCAAGAGTTTTCCAAATAAATGATTATAAACTTTCGCTTTTTCAGTTCGGGGAAATATTTTTGAAAAAATACCCAGAAATAATTATTAGGGTTTTGTCCATAATTCGAAGCTGCAAAAAGTTTTCCAAACATTTTTGCAAAGCGGTTAAGGAGGCGAGTGTTTTCTTTTTTTTTTCAATAAAATTTATCTTATAATTTTTCACAGAAAATACCTGAATATTGTCAGTAATTTAAGTAAAACTAAAAAATAAATCGCTTTTTGTGCGTGCGAAAAATTGCATAATAGAAACTTTGTGAAAACTTAAACGACCTGACAATTTAAAGGAACTTCAAAAATCTTTAGAGCGATCAGCGATGAGTGGCGGTGTAAAACTTTTGCTCTCTGGTCGTTATTTCAAGATAATCCTAATTACTTTCGGTGAAAAACTGAATAAAATTATTTTGTTTTTGTGTCAAATTTGAAGCTAAAATGGGTTTTCGAAAGTTCCCTGCAAACCGATGAATGAGGCGAATTTTCTAGCCAAATTAATTTTGCCATTCTTGGCTGAAAGTCGTTATTGTCAGAAAAGAAGAAAATCATCAGAAAATAATGTTTTTTGCGTTTTTGACTAAAAACCTTTAGTTTTGTGATCGGTTTTGGAGAAAACCTTAATGGCTTCCGGGGAAAAACGAGATAATTTTATTTTCGTTTTTGCCCCGAAAACGCGGAAAAAAGTATTTGTACATTTTTCCAAAGCTATAAATTTATCTTGTAATTTTTGTCGTAAAAAACCTACAGATTGTCAGTATTTTTAAGTGAAAGTCTACAAAATAGAGCGTTTTTGAGTAAAAAGAAAAGCTAAAAAAAATAACTCAAAACTAAAAAACCACACTTTTTTAACAAGCTCTACAGTCTTCAGAGGTATAAAGGTGACAGGTTATAAACTGTCGCTAATTCTGTTCATTTTCGGATAGAAAATTATTTGAGTTTTGTTCCCAAGTCGAAGCTGGAAAGGAATTTCAAAACTTTTTACAAAGCGACGAAGGATTTGAAATTTATTTCATAATTTTTCGCGAAAAATACCTTAAGATTGTCAGGATTTTTAAGTGAAACATTAGGAAATTGAGCATTTAGAAGAAAGAGTAACTGGGCTAAAACTGGAAAATTCTGAATATTTGAAAAAAAAATTAAAAAAATTATTAATAAATGGCCCTTCTAATCTAAAATCAAGGAAAAAAAGTTATCAACATTTTTTCAGCAATGGAACTGAGTTACTGCGCCGGTGTGTTGGGTTGGCGCACCAAGCCATTTGCGTAGCACTGCGCCAACTCCTAAAAATCCACTGTGTTACCCAGGCCTACCTGCAATAGAACGCGTTCTATTTTTATGCAATTCTCCAGATGCAACTCTAGTGTTTTTGGTGATATTTTAAGTTCGGTTATTGGCGTAAGGCTGATATTAAGAAAATCTAAAATATTCTTAGAGGTAACATCGACAGATGGATATGTAATCTCTTCGTAATTCATTATTTATTGCTGTTCAAATGGTGTCGAACCATCGACCGGAAGTCAAACACTTAAAAACACACTGGTAAACTTTTCGTTTTGGTCTGCGTTTAATATTGTGAAGTTGATCGTGTAATTACGATCATTTGTTAAAACTGTAAAATTGCTTAGTTGAGAACTTAGTTTTATTCCTCAAAATTAGTGTCTAATAATCTTATTTTTTTTGTAAAGATCTAAGTATCTAAAGTTATTCTTTAGTAAAAAATATGAGACGAATGGAGTAGAATGTGGTCAGAAACTAGCAAAGAAGACAGAGACGCAGATAGTGCTTCGAGAGAACCGTCAAATTTGAAATAATTTACATTCCAAAGTCAATAATACATACATTACAATAATTGCTGGGTTTTGTTTAGTTACCTATATGTCACATGCTGGATAACAGAATACACAATGCGTCTAGTCTCTTGGTATGTTCGTTCATCGCTCCAGTGTGGATTAATTCTGGAGAGTATTGAAGCTATTTTATTGTGGTATCGCACAAAAACGGTATGCATGGCTACTAGCCCGGGATTTTCGTTAAATCGATGATCGCCGGGCTGCACACAGTCTTCTGAGAGAGCTCCTGATGTGCAAATCTCATCTTCCTTGCCGTGGTTCTGATTTGAATTACCATAAAATATTTTGCCTAAAAATAACTTACAATCAAAAAATAGATTACTATCAAACCCTAAATAAATATAAGTATGCAATTTGAACTCGGAAGAACTGAAGCAACCATTGAGCCAAATATTTACCATTCCTAAATGTTCTGACCGAGTCAGCTGCATCCACATCACTACCATAAATCGTAGAACCATCAATGTAAGGTGTTACTTGATTTATTTGCTCACGCCATCCTAACTCGCATTCAATTCTTGTTGATGGTGCACTTCGGATGAATTCCATGCAACCAATATTGAAGCGACTCAGAAACGGATCATTTCGAGGCACTTCAATTGGCAAGCATGATGGATGCTAAAACAAATTTTTGTATAAGAAGGCATTACGTTTCCAGGAAACTTTGTAAGAAAAGTTGATAATGTTGGTTAAAAGCGGGTGGCACAAATTAAATATTTGCAAAAAATTATACTTTTATTTTCCTGTCAATCGTTGGGTCAATTAGTTCGATGTCCAAAGAGATATGCTTTCGGGACAATTTCTTAAAACTAGTAGTTTCTCAAGTTTCGTCGTCGAGAATTAGATTTCCTTCCCGATATTTCGCAGGCACCAGTGGCACATTTTCAAATGTGGTCTGGTCGAAATCAGGACGAACATCGATCAGTACAGTGTAAGCTTTCGATCAAACCAGTTCTGAAGATGCTCAAACGACTCATGCTTGCGAAACGTCAGAACGAACATCATGTTTTAATTAATGTATTTATATATGAAATGTATGTATCCATAGCTTCTTACCAGAAATTCTCTAGGCAATGATTTGTGGCCACCATCTTCACAACATTTTGGAATCGAGCCATTAAAACCTCGAGATTTAACTGTAGAAGTTATATCATGATCAATAAACTGTCCCCATTGCATAAACATTAATGTAACTGAGTGAATTTCCCGATCTTCGTCTCTATGAATAATCGTGCTAATGGCTCGAGGCGATGGTAATTTGGCACCGAAAATGCCACGTCTTATACTTTGGATGCCTGGAACAAGGAATTATTGTTGCAAAAATTTAAAAAGAATTAGCATTTGCACAAGAATACTCTGCTGAATTAATGCATATTTAACTCGTCTGTTATGATTACTGCGACTTCCTCAAATTCTTGTTCTGCCTTGTTAATTTAAATCGGGCCCTCGAATAAATCTGCTTTATAGCTAAATATTCCATCAGCATCATTTCAACATTCGTCATTTTTTACTGAAAGCCCAAGATAAAGTCGTCCATCAATAATGCTTTATAGTGTCGAGTTAAAAACGGCATTTGTGTGTGAAAATTCGCAAAGCTATGAATTTTAGGAATTTATCTATCACAGTCAGGTCACACAAAGAAGCTCTTTTACATCCCACACAATGAGGCGGAGACGAACTGATTATAGTTCGTTTATTGGTCAGTATTGAAAATCAATCAAAATCGAGCTTTTTTTAAAAAAATTGATGATTTACCTAAGCTAATTAAATGCAGTTAGGTCGTTAATTTAAACGGATTGAGCGTTTCCGTAACGCGTAAAATTGGTTTATCGGCTAAATTAAACTGTATCCTTTTAAGGAAAACCTATTTTATTAGGTGGTCAAAAGAATGCGAAATATTCAGATCTGAAGCCGTCTTTGCACACAACGTCTAGCTTAAAAATCATTTGCTGTTTATTCATAGTTCAGTAATAAGGGGCAGATAAAGAATTAATTCATTCAAAGCATTTCCATCAATTAATAGTTGTGAAGTAATGGTAAATGATTCAAATAAATGCCGCACAATATTTATTCTCTTTTCTAAAATGCAATGAAACCATTTTTTAACCTGAAATTTGTTTTTTGGAGGAGGAGGGAAATGGAGGACATTACAAGAAGAAAATGAGTAGCTCGCAACATTCATCAGTTAAACACTTTGTTAAAGTACTGATAGTTGTTAAATTTCGGCAAAATTAAATAGAGTAGGAACTGTTGTGCTTTTGTCACCAATGCAACCTGTATGTTCAGTAACTAACTTACCATCTTCGTAAACTGGAGGCAGGAATCTTTGCATAGGCAGCATTGCCGATCCTATCCATGGATGTTGCAAATTGTTACAGGTACCATCTGCAGTTCTAAATCTAAGAGAAGCTGGCGAACATCTAGGGCGTCCTCTAAGTGGACATTCATCAAGATCCACCTTCGATTGGACCTGGACGGGTATCCCTGCAGGTTGGCGCCCGACATTTCTACGATTACTGAAACAAATAAACGCCAATTATTAAATGGGATTATTAGAAAAGTGTGCTAGTTTTCACAATATATTAACACTTATTAAAGACGCCAGTTTATTAGGTTGTGCATTAATAAGCAAATTCTGGTCTGAAATTGGCACTAGAAGTCATTCGCACACCATCTTTTATTAATAAGACACATTAATACATTTTTTTGTACTTGCTAAAAATATATTAAATTCATTATTGCGGCACTAATGTAGATGAGATCAAGGTGCTTTTAAACATTCCAGAGCACCGTAGAAAAAAGTCAAAGCCAAATTATTTGGCCTCGAATGATCAAGATACTTCATTCATTGCATTTGCTTATTTTAAAAGACACTATTTTGAATTAAATTGTATAAAAAAAATTGGTTGAAATTAAAATCTTTAACCCAACAGTTTACGGTTAAAACCGAGAGTTTCCGACACTTTTTGGGTAAACAGAGTCAATTTTTGTTAAACAAATTCGAAAATACACCATCGCATTTCATTAAGACTCTCTATTAATTATTAGTTGCTGTAACTGATTCCTAAATAAGAATTTTGTAGAAAACGGAATGTTAACAGTTCTTTGCTTCAACCACCAGCACTGATTAATCTTTGGAGATATTCGACCTGTTTGTAGTACTTTCTAGAACCCATAAAAACTGGGTCAATTCAGATTTTATTTGATAACTTGAGCAACATCAAAATTTAAATGGTATTTTTGTGACTGATCGAATTTCATGCATAGAAACGGTTCCTAATGCTTATTAAAATAAATTAGCTATAGTTTTAGAATAATTGAGCAAAAACGGCAAACTCATAATCATTTAACAAGATGAAACAAAAAGCGAATATTCCAGTTTTTTGAATAAGTATGCGGTTATGTGAAAGGGAATACTTTATAATTGAAATTCGATTGTTGCTCGTAATAATTTGTATTTCCTTTCTCCGAGATGCCAAACCGCAAATCTGAAAAATTGTTATTTGACCGCATCATTTTAATCAGCGATAGTAACCTTGTTTTCACCAGTTTCTCTCTGCCTTTTTCTAATATCATTTATTCGAGATACGATTGCCATCAAGCAAAATCCAAAATGTCAAATTCTTCATTATTAAAAATCGTAAAAGTTTCAAGACCACCACTGGCTAGAAAGTAGAATCTAAGTTCGTTGATTAAACACGTTTACATCTCGTTGAAATGATAACCAACAGACCATTAATTTACATCTATTTATCTGTTATGCTTTCATGTATTCCGATATTATTTTCATACTTTCATGTGTAGTTCATAATTATGTTTGAATGTGTATTGGAGGTTTCCGGGTCACTAGGACATCATTTTCAATTAAAATTTTTATAAACCATAAAAAGGGAAACGGTTGAAAGTGAGTAGGCAAGCACAGTTTATTTTCATTGCCACTTTCGATTCTATCTCATTTTTATTTAGGTGTTCACTTTCTTAAATACGATAGGATGAAATTAATATAATTTAATTCGAAAGGAAATGGTGAAAGTCAGCGTTTAGAATTCGGATGAAAAACGAATTATAAGATTGAGCAACCATAGTATGATTTTATAGAAGGCTATTAATTATAACTTAATTTCCTTGCTGATTTACGTGCATTTCAGCTGTTTTAAGAGATAATAACGTTAACGTGCCACATAAAGCAGGATTATTTTGCTATCCTCAAATCGCTAAACTCGACAAAATAAATTGGATGATTTATGTTCCGTTTGAGGCTGCATTTTCTGACCTTTTAAAGTTGATCACAAATGTCCAAACATTTTTAATATATTCATTATAACGTTTAAACCGGGAAAATTTCCGCTAATTAAAAAAGTACTATTTTCTTGCAGCAAATGTTATCGTTTTTTGTGCAAGTTTTAAATAGACAAATGAAAATTCTATTATTCTAAGCACCTTCGAATGATATTTGATTTTCGAAAATTTTGCCCCAATGAATGAACTAATAGGTCATCAGTAATCTTTGAAAGAAATAAACTAAAATTATAAAACATTAAATTTTTATTTATGTACGTTTTTGAAAGACAACAATCTCATTAAGTTAGTAACACAGCAATAGAGACGAACTTTTATTACATGCATACTTTTATTGTTTACTGGAACAGGATATGCATTGTTTCCAGTTACTTTTAACTGATTTATGAAGAAAATATTTACATTCTCGCAAAATATCTACTGTCTTCATAACGATTCATGCTAAGAACTATTTGCTGGCTAAATTATCATTAATAAATTCTTTAAATTTGCACATTGCCTCAATAGTGTTTGAAATCTTTTTGCGAACAAAATTGAATATCGTGAGTATTAACAATACTTTTTTCTAAATAAAATATTTCTGAATACCACAAGATACACATTGCAACTTATCAACTCTGAAAAGTTCATTGAACCGGTTGGAATTTGTAATTTTAACGCTTAATCAACTATTTCAATGACAATGCTTATTCTCGGTTTAATGTTGTGAAAAATATGAACAATTTATAAACATACTTGCTAGTTTGTTTATAACATCTCGATTTGTCCTGAGTACTTACTTTTATGTATTTACCAAATCTGGAGTTTTTAAAGAAAAGTAAAGTAAATAACTAATCTTCATAAACAAATAACAGAGAATTATTTACACTATACTTTTTATAATCCAAGAACCTATAATTATTATTTTGAAATATTTTTAGTTTCCGAATAGTGTTTTAGACAAACATCAATTGTTCAAAATTTTATTTTTACAGAAATGAGTTTAAAGTATTTGCTAAAACATTAACATGATTGTTGGAATTATATTTTAAAAACATCATGCACCAAGCCACAATTTTCTTAAAATAAGAAATAATATAATAAATATTTTCAATAAAGCGTTTTCTTTAATGCTGGGATTAATACTGACCTTCCAACTTCAAGTGAAATCCATGATTGAATAGTGAGATGCACAAACTACTTTGGTGACATACCAATTGTAACTAAGCGAAAACACCTTGTAGTAAAGATCTTTAAAACATGCATTTTCAGACCCCACTATGCATCTTAACTTTCCCTCCAGTCTTTTAATGGTAAGGAAGAGTTTATACGGTTGATTGAATTGATTGTCACTTTGGTTGGCTTTCTTTTGCACGTTTTTGGTAGATTTAATGCTGGACAGGAGGATTGACGCTGAATGAAATACTTTCATCGTCGAATAGATATTATCCTGTTGTAGGCTATAGAATTTTATGATTGTTGACTACACAGATGTAATTTTATTGCGAAAATACGATTGCACAGTGCCGCAAATTTGCTTATTCCCAATCAATCTGGTAGGTTTTAAAAGAGACTATATCATATGTCGATAGTAAGCAATTATTAATACAAAATACGAATTATGTAGAAGCAGCAGCATTTTGTTAGAATTTGAAGTTAAAATGGGCCACTGATTCGGAAAAACTAGAAATTTCTAAAGCTGCAGTTATATTTTTTTATTATAAGTTTTAAATGTTTTTCAATTTTACAGCGAAACAAATTTGTCGCTCAGTCATACGAAATTAAAGAAGGGCCACACCACTATTCATTCTAACAGTGTTAAGTGGTATATTTCTTATAGATGTTTCAATCATATGAGCACATATTTTGATAAATTCAATTGTTCAAATGTAACAAAAAAATATTTCAAAATTTTACTTGAAAAACACATCCCACAAAACTTAAACTGCTGTAAACTAAAACTTTATAATCAAACCGAAAAAGTCGGTTTTATTGGCAATATATTAATTTTCAATTGTACAGTCTTCACACCTACAATTTATATTATATAAACTTCTGCTGGGCAAATGGATAGTGCAATTTTAAGAAATTATAGTTTTGCTCTATTTGTGGCAAAAGGTATGCTTTTACTAATATCGGAAGCGAAGTTGTTATTAAGAACTACAATTATAAATAGACTAGTATTGAAAATAAATAGTATCCAGATAGAGTGAGTCATGTCTCGGTAATTATATTCAAATTATAGTCTCTAAGATGAAAATAAATTATACTGCCCAGAACGTTTCGAATGTTAATATAGTCAATTAACGGCGGAAAGGATTTATTGAATTTCGAATAATTCATTTCGATATGGTAACTATACACAAGTTATTTATTGATATTGCAAATGCACTCGCAACAGTAATTCCCATAGATAGGTAACTTTTATTAGAAGTAATGTATCCTTGAATAATGTTTAATATTCCATTTAGAAGTATTTGTAAATCATTAACTTGTATCAGTGATTTTAGCATTATGTCCAATTTAAAACATTTCAGGAAAATGTATGTAAATTAGTTGCCATAAAGATTACCGTCCAAGACAGTAATTAAATCAACTTATGTATCACGAGCTGTGCTTATTATTATTAACTAAACTGTTTAGCATAACTGTAACTTTAATTCTTTGCAACTCAGAGAGATCTCAGAAGGTATAGCCTATTAAAACAAAAATAGCAAAATATCAAAGTCAGTCGTATCAAATCAAAGAAATCTCAATAAAAAAATTTATGCAGTATAGTTCAGTAAGTCTAGCTTAGATAAGGTATCTATATAACTAAATATTTTTTTGAAGTTCAAAATTACTTATTTATATGAAACATATTAATTTGGTAGATTTTGTCGATGGAAGCAAGGGAAGAATCGCTTACCTTGCCGTTGTCAATAAAAACGTTTTCAGGAAAACACGAATTGATCAATCTTTGGATAAATCGTTACAAGTGAGCCATCAACGACTAATTAATTAGTTGCTAAAAATCGACACGTTCTGAAGAGGCTTATTGGCGTTGTGTGCTTTCTTAGCCTACATGAACTTGGATTTAGAGAATAGAGGAAATTATCTAGATCTTGTTTCCCTAGTATCGAAATATGACTCTTGTTTGAAATCACATTTGGAACATTCTAATGTGTTTCAAGGTATCTACATCAAATCGAATTTAGAATAACTTCAGAATTTTCTGCTATTTCGACTGTTGTATCAAACAAAATAAAGGAGGAAATCATACAGACACGACTCCTTGCAATTATTTTAGATAAAACTACTGATTACATTATTACTAACGACGGCGAGCTCTCTGCTACTATATTGGGTTCTGTGTAAAAAAATTGTCGAACTTAAAAATTCTAATAAGAAAAGCGGTGACTTTGAAAAATGCCGGAATAATATTATAGATAGAAGTTTCGAGCCAAACAGAAAACGCATATGCACTAATAACGTTGTTTTAAAGTTTTTTCAAATTTTGGATTTAATCTATCAAGAAATGGATAACAGGTTCAAGAATTTTGAGGATGTAAACTTTCTCGAAGTGTAATTTTAATACGTTCAAAGAAACGCAATTTCCCGAAAAGCAATTACAATCTTTGATTATATTCTGATTTTTCAGATGTTCGGAACTAACTGCTTTGTATCAAACTCAAGACATTGAGAAAAAAAATAATGCCAGTGAGTTATTAAAATCTTGTTAGGAAAATGTCGCTGCATTCTCATTTCTAGAACGAAATTATAAGCAAGTTTTGCCAAAAATTATAGAATAATTCAATTGCATTCTAAATAGGTGTTTTTATAAATTGCTTCCTTTCTTTCAAATTTCACCCGCACGCCTCTGATTATAGTCAACTGTTTCGCATTTCCTTATCGATTAGAATTGAACAATTAATTTGTTTCTGGTTCTTTGCTAATTAAAGTGGTAACCATTCGTTGAAGAAACAATCTAATTGACTCACTAAACTCTAGTAAAAACCCTTGTGAAAATCCAGTAATTAGCAATGACGAAATATAAATCTGCTATGCTTCTTGGAAACCCGTAAAGACTTTGTTGATTAGCAATTTTTGAAATAAATTGGCCAATGTCAACATGCAAATATTTATAAATGCTTTGTTGCAGATGCAAATAAATTTCAAATATCTTTGCAAAACAGTCGGTCAATTAAAAGAACAAAACTAATACCAATATTATTTCAAGATTTGAATTTGAAGAAATCACCTTGTGCAACACGAAACTAGATCAAAAATAGAAATAACAAAAACGATCAGGTAGCACTTTTTTCTAATAATTAGATTGACACTCAACTTCACTTCTTTGCATTACTTGTTTCCCAGTCGATCACCAAAAGCATGCAAAATTAAGCAACATCCAACGATGTTTAACTAAGAAGTAAACAAAAACAATTCATTTAAATTTCAAGATTCTAATTTGACAAAACCATAAAGTGGACAACTTATTCAGTGAATTGTTTCTTATATAACGATCATAGAGCAATGGTGAAACAGTACGATTCGTAACAAGTTTCTTGAAACGATCGTCATTTGTGTATTTTTGCAACCAAAAAATATTACACCAATTTACTGGAATAGGCGAAGACAATGGCAATCAAAGTGTGAAGTTTATTTTCAGCTGCAAATTAGGGCATTTGTGGTGAATTAAATACTGTTATTGGGAAATGTGCTACTTTGTATATTTAAATGTTAACCGGAGCGATGGTTTTATCAATTTTTTCTAACTAAAAATGTTTTAATATATTTTGTTGGCTGCTACTCAATAAGCGAACGTTGCAATTTACCAGTTTTAATGATAACGCCATGCAATTAGACTATGGCTAATTTGTAGATTATCATGGTCACATCCAGCGAAATCAATCATAGAAAAACTTACTCTTCTGATATCTTTTTACTGGCTTCTAAGGTTGCGTATCCAATTTGGGACAGATAAACCGCTTTTGAGCTGCTCGGTTTCCCAAAATTTGCAACTTTTGCTGCCGGATCGTTGTTTCCCAAGAAAAGTCCTACAAAAAGATGTTTTTAGTTATAATTAAACTGGATTTATTGGATTTTATACTTGAATATTAATTTTTTTAAATGAAATAACGACACCTTGTACCCGATTGATAATTTAACGAAACGTATTTAAATTGATCAGGAATTTATTTCTATACAAAAAAATATATTTACCTAGTTTATACAACAGTGGTTCCTTAATTTTAACCAATTCCTCCAAAGCTCTCATTCCATGTTCAACAGCATTAGCAATATCCCTCTTTTCAACTTCCAGGTCAATTTCTTCCGATTCTCGCTTTTGAAAATTGACAGTTGTCCTCAGTTTTCTCACAACTACTTGGTGAGAGTTCAAAGCACTAGATGAATTGTTATTGTTTATTTCAAGCACATTCTCTTGAACCCGACTAATTGGTACCGCATCTTCAGTTTCCCTTGCCAATGTCTTATTATCATTCTTAGTATTAAACACAGTGCCAATAACCGATTTAGCATCGTTTGTAGTGCTTTCATTTTCCTTATATGTTTTCAAGTCGTTCTTAGTGCGTAAAGCGCTTTCATTTTTTGTCTGCTTATTAGAATCCTCGTACGTGAGTAAATGTTTATTGGCATATGGCAAATGAGTGTCTTCAGCACTGGAATCGTCAATTATTGCTTCAGTGTTTAATCGGTGGGTTGGGTTTTCTTGGCTTTTACTGATTACTGGTTGATTCAACCAAAGTGACGACACTATGAAGATGGAAATTATTTGCACTCTATTTGTACTAAAACAATAAAAAAATGATAATAGGTATAAATGTCAAAGTAGCTGAATGGAAATAATACAGAAATGTATTTAAACAATTCCGCATGTGAACACATTTCAACAGTTCTTGTTTCTCATTTTCTAGCTTGATAAGAAAATCCGAATTGTTTGGTAACTCCAGTCAAAGTTTTAAGATATATTTATTAAACAGCCGTTCTAATAACGTTCATTAATGAATCATGCAGCAATCAATAATTAAAGAGGGCACGAAAATGCAACGCCACAAAGTTTTACATAATAAAAATAATATTATAAAGACAAAACACACAGAAGCAAATTTATCAGTTTATTTCGAGCTTAATGTATATCTAACTTTATTTTACTGTCCTGAATTTGAACTTTTCATGTTAAGGAAAAGTAAGTTATATCACGAACAGATACTTGGCATACGTTTATATTCTTTATAATGCAGTCAAATTCCATGTTTGAACTACGCAAATTATGCAAGAGAAAATGCACATTCTTGTTCGTCAAAAATGGTAAAAAACTACAAAACTGCATTAATATTGCAACATCAATGATGCAACCAAAAGTTGCGCCATCGAGCTTCACTACAATATAGAAACATTTAGTATCACATTCAATGTTCGAACATTGTTTCTTCATTTACTGTGGTCAACCAAACCAGGAAGTTGTAAAGATACGTGAAATAAACAAACAAGTCAGTTAGAAAACGTTTGATGTCTTTTACGAGTTGTGCAGACCGATATAACAGGCAGAATTTAGTATGGTAACAGAATTCCGGCTCATCATTTAGAAAAATTAAATGTCTAAATTGCTAGCAGAAAAAACTGGTATTGGCAGTAGTTGAACGGTATTCTTATTTCCTTATTTGCAACATATTTCATATTATTTTGCTCTGCAAATATCGTGACTGTTTGGGCGAAAGTGAGTGTAGGCTACAATGTACTCTTAAAACTCTTTGTGAAAGTTCGGAACTTTTAACTGTCTACTTAAATGTTAATGTTTCCAGAATTGTTTGCATATAGAAAAACCATATGTTATGACAAGACAATGTAATATGCAGGTTGCAAGAATAACATTTTAAGTATACTTTTTAGTATCCCAGTCGATTTAATCGAAGCGAATAGGCGATTCAGCAATAGTAGCAAAACTGGATGAAAATAGCGCACTAACAACTAAACATTATCATCCTAAAAAGATTAGATAAAATTAAGTTTAATTAAACATTAGGTTAAAACAAAATTAAAAACATTTCACGATAACATTAGACCTTTTTTACTTCTTGAACCAAAGTCATCCATCTATAATATATGAGTAAATCTGACACCCTAAAAACTTAATATTGAACTAGAATTATATTTGAACTTCTTAAAAACACTTTTTCAAACTCCATATGTGTAAGGCAGTTTATCAATAACTACATTATTCAACATTTAAATTTCAGACAACAATGACTGGCAACTGTATTTAACTCACCTCATATTGTATTCGTAATGATCATTAGAGCACTTAAAAACTATTCAACCCACTATAAAAATAATATTGAAACACACTCAGCCACATGCAAGACAAGAATGTAAAGAAGTTCTTAAACCCAAAAGATGTGGAACTTCTCGTAATAAGAAACAGTTATTCTTAATTTCGATGGCTCCGAGGTATCCTCCTTTTTGCAAATGCGTCCTTTCGCTATGATTTGTGGTTCTGTTTTTTTATTAATGGGTTTTGTATGGATCGTTGGCGTGTCGACAACTTTCCATTAAGTATTTGTTATTAAGCAGATCCGAAAATACATGCAGTTGGCCAGACAAGATGAAAATGACCAACTAAGTGGCATATTTAAAACCTGTTCCATCAGCGAAAATTACTTTAAAATCTGTATTAAATTTGAAAGTATCTCGATAAACAGAATATTTTTTACTTTCATTAACATATTTATTTCTGCAAATAAAGCTGCATTATTAATTCGCAAGTGTAGTTTTTTGGGCAGGTATTTATAGATATTTCAGATGATAATGAGCTCATGAATAACCCAGAGGTTTTGGTTGCACTTTAAAACGTATTTGTTCCACAATTAAAAATGTGCATGGAAAGAATATTAATATATTTACACCAACCATGCTGACGTTTTGCACTGTAAAACCTAAATTATTTGTAAGTTTTGTTTGGACGGCGGCGAGGAATAAATAAACCATTCTTTTAAATGATTAAACCCAGTGCAACACAAACAGACACATTTCAATTTTAGGAACATGCAATTATTAATTAAGTTTCTCTTAGTTGGTCGTGTCGCCTATGAGAATTGCGACAAAACTGCCGAATCACCAAGTTTCAATTATGTTTGAACACATTTTTAATATCGAAAGCAAAAAACGCATTGAAATGATGTAAATATGTAATTTAACTGGCAAATTCACCCAACACGTTTCAACCTTTTTCCTCTTGCCATAAGAAAGTGCATGTTTAGTATATACATCTATGTATAAAATAATCAACACTTTCACCACGATAGATAAATAAGCAACGAAAACCTTGACACTGACCGAGGGCAAAGAAAGTGACACACCTAGAACATTTATATACCAGATAATATTTTTCTTGAAGGAAGCAGATTTCACTTTGGAAACCTGCACGACGCTCGTTACTTTTTACAGAAATAGCAATGAAAGCTTGGATAATTTTAAAGGGTAAAAACCCAAATGGGCGGTATGTATGCGGCTAATAAATGTTACTAATATATCATTATTTTAAACACATATGTATCAAAGAAAAAATTTCAACAAATTAGCATCTAGGTCAACAGCAATCGTGTATAAAAACAGGTATCTATCATCGTAAAGTTTCAGGCAATTAAATTAAAACAAAAACAAAAATGTGTTGCAATAGACAAATCATTTTAAAAAGTCGAGTTTCTAGTTTTAGTTTCATTGTTGCACTGGCTGCAAGAAGTTGAATGAAATGAATGTGAAAATGTGAAAAGCTAACAGTCTTTAATCATCTTATTGACAATACCGCATCATTGAAAAAGTGAGAAATATTTTCTTTACAATGAAACTGGTTTAGTGATATGTAATTCCACTAAACCATATATTAATAGTTAATAATTCAATATATATATATATATATATATATGTAAGAAAATTGGCTCCTCATATTATATATTAAGGTTAAATATACATATTAATCTATTGTCTATATAATTAAGTACGTAGTATAAATATACAGTAAGTAATTTTTATTAAATCTCCAAATTCTTGAAAGCGATTCCTCGAAAGTTGCCAATGGCTTTAAAGACTTCGTACATCTAAATTAATATATCATGCTTCGATGAATCTCCAAAAATTGATATTTTCAAGCATGAAATAGTTATTCGTCTGCAATGTACGTTATTTACAAAAATAATCGTGTGTCCTATTTTTCCGAAATAATTAACGTTATGTAACGGTTTACTGGGCTTCTCTACGGCTATGTGCTTTTTCACACACAAAATGTATTAAAACGGTCATTGTTTTTGTGGAGAAATGAAACTCCGTTAGTTTATCCAAAATTCGCATTATATTGATAAATTGCAGCGTTTAGCAACGATATTATTACTTCCGTGGACCTAAGATTTTAGGTACATTTGAAATTTTTTATATTTGACTCACTCTCGGCGTTTGTTTGATCTAGCAAGGTTGGTACCAATCTTGACATATGATATTATTCATTCACATATATTGTGAGTTTAATTTCATGCATTTTATAGTAATGTGTGTAAAATATGTTACAAAGCCGCACGGCTAATGTTTTTCAACCTATAAGAAAAAATTCATTGCAATCCACTTTTTCTTCTGCAAACCCCAACGGGACCAATTAGATTATCGATGATTTAATAAAGAAAATTAAATTTAAATTTAAATTCAATGATTGCGAATCAAATATGATTTGTTTAGAAATATATAAATTTATTCATGTCTAGAATAAAAATATTGCTTAAAGCCGTTGCATTAGCACTTTACATTCTATAAAGAGAAAGTAAATATTGCATTTTTAGATTGAACATAGTGGTTTCTGATTGTTACCAGTATTTCATATGATCTGTTTATGGTGTAGCAAAGTACTTTTTTAGCTTTTCCCAAATCTGTAAACATTACTAAAACAAAATACGGTTTCTGGACTCAATATTAAATAAAAACCTAACAAATAAGTGAAACAACCTTAATAAAACATTTTATATTGTATATTAAAAATGATATATATTATATATGTATATAAAATTGACAATTCATCTTTCATAACTCAAACTTAATTACTTAAACAATATTAAATAACCGTTCAGTTTTGCTATAAACTAATGATATTGTATTTCGATTCATCAAGGCATTTTTTTTAAATTAAATTAAAATTCTTTTACATTATTCAGCCCCGAATTTTCTTCATAAAAACAAAACATATTCTGATAAATTATTCACAATAGCAAATTACCAATCAGCTCAATTCAATTGATGTTGTTACAAAAATGAGACTTATTTAAGTACACAATTATATACATTTATTTTAATTAAAATGACATATTTAGACAATTTAAAGATTAACAACTCACCGAAGAACTAAACAGTGTATTTAAATATGGACATTAAATATTCACAGTTAAAAAGCTAAATGCGATACTTTGTGTTAAGATTGGTACCCCATGCATAAAATATAGAATGAGCTAAAAATAATACATTTTTAGCAATTTAAAGTAAAACTATGTCAGTCCATCACACTTTGCTTCCAGCCAACTTCACATGAAGTGCTATAAATAATTTTAAGCATTGTATCATCACAATTTGTTATATTGTTTCGGTTTGCAACGCTCTTAACCTTCATCAGGTACACCCTGATTTATAGACACTCACAGACAAAATATTATTCACTCTATATTATATCCTTTTATTTTCCCTAGCTGCCTTCTCGGCTTCTTTGAGCCTGTTAATCGCATGAACGGAACCAAATAAGACCTTGGCAGTCACCTGGATGCTTCGCTGCTTGGGCCCCGGAATATTAGAACTCCTGTTTATGTTATTATTCACTGGCGCTGGATAGGTGTTATTGTTGGCATCTCTTAGAGTCATTGATTTACAATTGTCTGGCATTGTAGCAGTAGACAATCCTTCTGAAAAAGTTGTAGCTTCAGAGCTTCCTAAAAAAAACAAAAATTAAGTATGTTGGTATTTCTCTCTCATTTTGTTTTTAAAGTTCTATTGACAACATTTCTCTTGCATCATCACAACTGCGTGTTTCAATTTATGTTCACTTCTCTGTATTGACATGCTCCATTTTCTTGACCAGATAATTTCAGAAAAATTAACAGTAAGTGCAATCAATGAAGCTTTTAAAAAATATATGGTTTTAGTTTTATTATATTTTCGTTAACATAAAATGAGAGATACATATGTAGGTAGGCAAGGACAGATATCTCAACTGACGAAAATTGAAAAAAAAGTTACATTCAAAAGCCATTTGGGGGCCGATGGGAAACTGAAAATTAGTGAAGTTGTCGATAAATCTTGATCTCTGTTTTTAGTTTCTCTTGATTGCTACCCCTAATCCGCAATTATTATCCAAATAAATGCAAAGGAACGTAATAGCGTCAGAACTAATGAGAGCACAATAAATAGCATATTACATGCTGATGAGACTTCGAGCAGAAGCACCCGAGAACTTGCAGGGTATAACAGAAAAATTGAAGAATATTGAGAAAAAATCATTAGGATCATAGGCTCATGTTCGGCAAATTATGTAATACGCAGAAAGAATAATTAATATATACTGAAATAAAGCTGATAATAAATATGTTTACGAGAAATAAATAGAATAGAAAACGAGCAGTACATATTGTGATCAGCAAACGCCAGATAATATGATAAATAAAATGGAACGGAAAAAACGGTTATTATTAGGGAATCACGTTTCTTTGTTTGTTTTAATATTGATGATCATGCATAAATATACCTGAAGCCGTGAAAATTGTTCCAACCGTGTGATTTATTAAATGAAAAAAACTTATTACGAAAGTATGCATAATTTACTTAATAGGTTTTGCAACTATCAAAAGTGGATATGCCATATTTGACTCAACGCACTATTAAAGCGGATAATCAAATTATTGAGTGTTGAGAAACTCCAGTTAAACCAAATTCCAATTTAAAGCGATTCACTGTAAAAAAAAACACTTGATTGAATAATTTAACCAAAATTTACCAATCCTCGAGAGTTAGCCACGTTTTATAGTACTCTACTAATGTACTAAAAGCTTAAATTTCAATTAAAGCAAAGATAGCTTATTTAAGAACGAATATTTTTTGATAAATAAAGTTTTTTAGTAGTTATCTCTCTACAGGTCGGAACTTAGTTTAGCATAGCTTCTAGGTCAAGCCGCACTAAACATATTTATGAAGGTACTTTCTTATGTGAGGAATTTTTCCTACATTTATTAGATATGTAATTCTCCTCGTAAACCACTTAAAGAACGCGAAATGAAAAGATCATTTCTAAAATCTTAGAAAGGATATTATCCAATTTATGTTAACCTAGATTTTTTTACAATGCTTCGAGTAGGATCTGAGACGCTTGAGGAACAACATATTTTATTGGTGAGCATTGATCTATCAATCCGAGCAATATTGGGAAAAAATGCAGATTATAGAATGTAATTGACCGTATTGGTGCAGGAAATACAAATCAATTAATCATGTCCTAATTGTGCAAAGAAGCCAGCGACAACACCAAGAAAGTTGTACTAGACGGTGCTAGCAAAAATTGACTGAATTGTTAATTGCGAGTATAAATGGAAGAATTTTAGATTGGAAATCTAAATGAAGAACTGGTAATAATTCAATAACCCCCACCCTAATGCCCTACCAATGTAACCGTATAAAACTGAATCGACCGACTGGGCTCAGTTTACTCATTGTAGGCGGTTTTAGTGGGATAATAAAATTGGTTTGCAATTTCCGCTCAAGGTTTGGGGAAATATAAATACGGCTAATGGGAACTAATTATATGTGTAAGCCGAACCTAGAATTAGTCCAACACCAAAACAAAGCGAGAAGTGACCTACTCACCTAGTAAGCTTCCACTATCAGTCTCATATCGTCTCGTGCGTATCCTGCTGAACCAATTCACTGGGAATGCAATGATGTAGTGTCTTAAGTAGAAACAGCTGAGACGAAGAACTTGAAGCAGGTTACGTGTTTAGCAGTTTTAGCACACCGACACACTGACTGAGTAAACTTACTCGGCCAAGCTAAGGCACTATGTCAGGGGGGCCACTCTCTCTTGATCTTTGTGTTGATGTCGTGTCTTTGGACTTATCTGCATGTACTGCTTCGTTTTGTACGAGGTTCGCATGTAAAGAACCCTGAATTAGCAGGCTTTCATATTATTTGGTTTGAATCGGTCATATAGGTGCACCTAGAAGAAGAAACGACGCTGAATCAGCTTTTAATTGGTAGATTTGCAGGTCTAAAAAATTGAAGCGGAGAAGATGAGACGCTCGATATTGTCATTAATATAGTTACATATATTCGGTAAATACGTACGAAGCAGCTTCCAAAATGCAGATGATTATATATTGCTTCTTCAATTCCTTAGAGGAAAATCAGCATTTTAAAATCCTCCACAAAAAAGGTACTTTGAGCGTACGTTGCCTGAGACTTGCAATCATTATGCTTCATTTATTTTGCTTTTAACGCTAGATCAATTTCAATTTGGTTTCTTCCAATGAGATAATAGCTAATTTCAATTTAAGTACTAAAATGAGCATCAAATATATATTTTTTTAGACAGGATATAAGACAACTTCTCTACTCTTTTTTTTTTAGTTTACTAATAAATAAAAAATTTGAAGTCATCTTGTTCCTGCCTTTCGATGGCTCGGCGAAAATGCTATCACCCATAAGAAAACTAATATAGAGGTGTAAATACTAAAATAGACAATAGTTTGATCTTAAGTAATTTGCTTTATTGGTTAACGATTTTACTTCATTTCTGTTGGAAGTTGCGACAAATTCATGATCAGCAGGGTCCATATGCAAGTGAAAAGTAAAGTTGGCAATATTAAAAAATATCAAAAACGTAAGCTCTCAAAGCACAACTAGCACTTAAAATTAGGTGTATACTTACACTGTATTGTCTGATATAAATATTTAAAAGCCAACGTTCATTTTATCTTCGTAAAGACGTAAATTTTAAAAGTTGTTGTAAACATGGGTGATACATGCAGAAAAAACACTCCTTAAAAAATCTACTAGCAGCAAGTTCAAAGGCATACAAATTCCCCTGCAGAGCTGTTTATAAGACAACAAACATTTTGTTAAAAAATGACTTCCATAAGAATCTCATCCTGAGATATATCAATACAGAATATTAAGTTTCATTCTTCGTGAAATTCAAAAGTATTTTTGATCATTATATTGAACAACCATATAACTTGCTCACTCACCCAGCACTTTGAAATATTTATAAAAAAAATTGACCAGAAGTTCTCGAGCAGAACATCTGGCCTTCTATTAGCCCAGATTTTAATCCTATAGATTAAACCATACGCGACAAGTTAGAATTCGTGTTATTCAAAATACTAGTAAGCACTGTTGATGAATTAAATACTCGAATTGGATTTTAAAAAAATCTAGTTTGAGTAGTAAAGTAGAGAAAATTTAATACGGTGATGTCAAAGAAAATCAATCGTTTAAGAGAAATTTTCACTTCTGAGTCTCAATTTATTAACAAAACAAAATCAATAAATATTGCAGATAATTCTAAACTTCCAGAACTACTTGACTATAGTAGAGGCAGAGAGTAGAGAGATATGCGAAAATTTGAAGAAATAAAATTGTTTGTAAACATTTTTTTTTCTCGACTCAAACTGTCTACCATCTGTATCTCTGGAATGATTGGTATAACGACATAAATCTATTGAGCTCAAAACATTTGTAAGTAAAATTTTAAAATTTGCTCAGGCCAAAAGAAATAAACAAAAAACTGTAAACAGAGGATATTTCATATGCAAATAATACTTATTTTTCTTCACCGTAAAGATTATTTGGAATTCCGGCTGATATATTGAAGTTGATCGAGGGGAGGAATCTAGGGTGGCTTGCAAGAGCGTTCAATGTGATCTATGATAAGGGCGTCATACCGACGGAATGGCTCAAATCTGAATTTGTTACCCTTCTCAAAAAGCCTAATGCTAGGATATGTAGCGAGTGTCATACAATAAGCTTAATGAGCCATCTACTGAAGATATTCCTGAAGATAATTCACTTTAGAATTTTTAACCTGTGTAGAATCAATCCGGCTTTAGAAGGGCTGTAAGGACTAGAGAGCTGTATTTTCGATCCAGCTGCTGTTTCAGCGATACAGGGATGCGATACTGCCATGTATACATCCATATTTCGTGGATTACAGGAAGACGTTTGACCAAGTGCGACAGACAAAAATAATGGAAGTTCTGCAAAAAGCTGACCTGGATGGGAAGATCCTCAAAATCATCAGAAATCTCTACTGGAATCAGAGGGCTTGTGTCAGGGTAGACAACGGAAGAGGCACAAATATTGCGTGGTGTAATACAGGGATGCATACTGTCTCCTGTAATGTTCAATCTGTACTCGGAAGGCATCTTCAGAGAAGTCCTTCAACATACTGAAGCTGGAATCCTACTAAATGGAGAATTGATTGAATAACATAAGGTATGCGGATGATACCGTTATTTTTACAGAAAAACAAAGTTCGTGATAATCAGTAAAAACCAAAACACCCGCGGTACTTTATTGGTAGACGGAACTCCTTTAGAAAATGTCAACGAATACACATACCTGGGCACGAACGTAAATGATGACTGGGACTATTCTGTGGAAGTCAGAACGTGTATTAAAAAAACCAGAGCGGTATTTATCAGAATGAAAAAGTCCTTACCAGCTACGACTTTCCGCTTGCAACAAAAATTCGCCTATTGCGATGCTACGTGTTTTCGACCCTTTTTATGGGGCTGAATCGTGGACGCTTACGGAGGCCTTCTCCAAAAAACTCGAGGCATTTGAAATCTGGCTGTACTGAAGAATCCAACGAATACCTTGGACATAGAAAATAACAAATACGGAGGTGCTGAGAAAGATGGGAAAGGAAAAAGAAGTTCTTGATACAGTTAAGACTCGAAAGCTACAATATCTGGGACATATAATGCGCAATGATAGTAAACATGTCCTTTTGCAGAAGACCTCCTCCAAGGCAAGGTATATGGAGCTAGAGGAGTGCGCAGAAGGAGAATATCGTGGTTGAAAAATTTAACAACGTGGTTCAACCAATCAACCACTCAGCTAATCCGCGCCGCTGTAACAGAGTTCGAATTGCCAACATGATAGCCAACATCTGGAACGGATAGGCACTCTAAGAAGAAGTAGATATTATACTTTTTCCAAGCGTTAGTTTGATTGCGATAGCACAAGTGACTAAAATTTTCGTTTAAAGTAAAAATAATTGAAACTTTTTTTGATTGTTGCTTAATGCTCTTGAATAGAAGACTTCTCATAATCATGTTCTCGCATAATAAGTATTTAAGTACTGATTGAAAACGTTAATATTAAGATACATACTGTGAACATTGATCAACTGCTTGACAGTGTGACATTGAAACATTGCCAAAATATTTTTGGCAAATTTTATAGGAAAATATCTAGTACGAAACTTCATGTTGATGCATATATTTAAATTGAAGACGAATCGAAAATACTGCGGATATGTCACATAATCACAAGAAGCAATCCGTATCGGGTAATATATGGAACTTATGTTGATTCCCGTTTTAAGAAGAATTTACGAATTTTAAGGAAAAACTAGCCAGTATGCTGGTGTTCATCATGCTCACGGCACCCACAATGCTCAAGATGCCAAGCATTTCCATCAACACGATGGCGCTCATCATCCAACCCACCAAAACGAACGGAGCAAAAGCGAACATCACTCTCGTAATAAAGGGCACCTTCCAACTAGGTATCACAGAATTGATCTTATTTTTTTTCCTTACTATTAACTGAGTGCACAATTTTTTTAGCTAAAACTAATCAACTATTTACTAAGCCAATTAAAGCCATTAAAAGTCATTAAACATTAAATTGAAAGTATTTAAAAAAAACTTGCAACTCATTTAACGACCACGTTCACATTTCCCTTGCTGCAAGCTTTAGATTAAACATGTAGATATATTTAAAATGGGACATTTAAGCATGACGTTTTCCTCAACATCAATTTAAAACATTTCCTGCTTAGATCAAAAAGTTATGATGCAAGCCAAAGACATCAGTCTGAATCGCCCCATAGTAAGCAGTCTCAGCACAGTGGAAAAGAAGTTGGAAAGTCCCATGGTCAAGGGCTTGGAATTATTGACACCAATGATGTAAGTCGTTCAAGAGTTCAGATTATAAAGAAAATTTTAATTTCGAAGAACGCAAGCTTATTAAAACAGCTAATCTTATTTAACGATAAACATAATTTAAAAATTTGTTACATTTTACGTAATTAGTTGGGTGCTTTTTTGATTAAAGCTAGTAAGCCATTAATTAGGTATAGTTAACTAATCAGCATTGAAAAAACATGTTTTCTGTTGGCATGAAAACTTGTAAATCTATCATACACTCATGGGTTAGTCTTACTTGAAACAACATGATTATTTTTGGAGATTTGCGTTTGCGGACCAAATATTTATGGACGATTTTTGGGCCCGACTGTCGATGAGCAAATTTTAGCAGGATTGTCTGCTCTATTTGAAATGTGCAGTGAGTGTCCTGAACAAAACCCGCCATCTGATACGGATCAAGAGACGTAAGAAGTTGCACTATTTTTCCAAAACTAAGTATTAACTACTTTCAACAGTATTTAGAACTAGTCATTTTGAATATTATTGGTTGAAAAGTTTATTAGAATTATTTTCAATAGACCACAATCTACCGAGCTAGTCCTGCCCGTAGAATCAGAGAGTGAAGAGTCATTAGAAAGGATATCGACTGAACCACAACCTTTGTCCAGGTACGCTGAATTCCTATTTATAGAGTTTATTAATTCGACCAATATTTTTTACTCTAAATTATAAAGATTTATATAGATTTCAATTAAAGCATACTTTTTATCAATTCAATTTTTGCTTTTTTCTAGAGCTTCTTCTATCAAACCCAATGTCAGTGCAATGAAGTAAGTTAACTGTTTATTCATATGCTTTTAATGTTACATTATTAATTTAGATGATATCTTTATAACTAGTATTGTAGCATGTAATAGATAGTGGGAAGTAGTAGGACTAATTCAGTTAATATTAGAGTCGCCTAAAATTAGCCCACTTTAACTCTTAAGCTTATTTAATTAAACAAAGACAGTTTCTTTCCAGTTAAAATGCTTTTACATAAATTAGAGGCCAGAACGAAAAGTTGCTATAACATTACAACCAGCTATCATTTGTAATTTTGCGAACTGCTAACCGATAGTTGTTAGTAATTTGTTAGGACTGTAGGTGTTTATAATATTGTTTTTTTTATGGAACTGTTAATAATATTGCCAACAAAATGTATTTTTATTCCAGGACGCCTCCATCTAAGGAAAGTTCGCTGCAGTAAGTTGGCCCACATCATTTGTTTTAAAGATAGTACATTCGACTGAAACTATGCTTTATTTTTCAGCATTCCTTCCCCAAAAGATACTGAGTTAAAGTAAGTTTACCTTAATCCTGCTAACATTTACTCGGAAATAACTACCTATGTATTAGGGCCAAAAAAATTAGGAAACTGATATTAATAACTAATATTTCAGTTCGCTAATTAATAGCTTACTGCTAAGGCAATGTCTCTTAATTAGTTGAATTATCAATATGAGCTATTCTAAAGCGAATTTTTAGCACCTTATTTGTATGTAATTAATGATGCTTAAATGCAATTAGTATTAGCGTTTAGATTTTAAACAATATTTGTGAATTTATTTTTTAAATTCTTTTATAGACCACCGCCCCCGAAGGAAAGTGCAGTGCAGTAAGTTAACTTAGATTAAAAAAAATGCTTTGCAATTATGCTCCTTGTGTACCTAAATATGTTCACGTTTTTTTTGTAGGATTCCTACTGCAATAGAAAGCTCGTTAGGGTAAGCTCAGTTCAGTATTAAAATAACGTGTGATTATTTAACTTTGACTTAATGCCGAAAGGTAAGAAATTTGTATAATACGTTTTTCAATCCAGATGAACCCTTATCAAATAATGTGAAACATTGATACCTGGCTTTATTACATGAAATTTGAGAAATTGTTCAGTAACCTGCCTTTTAGTATTGGATTTTTATATTTGGAGCAACTAATAAACTTATAGTTGCACGTTAAGAGGCAATAAATAACTCATAGTACACAACTTCTACTAGTATGCGACTTTAGCAAAATTGTTGATTACGCCTCACAATCTTCCATCATTTTCATAGATGTAAAAGAAACGTCGTAATTTAAAATAAATTGACTTGAAATATATCCAGTCGACGAAAGTAAATCTTTAAAATCGTAAAAACTGCACTTAGGAATTAATTATGATGAAATTCTTTTAATTTAGGTCAATGGCTAAAGAAGAAAACCTTAGAACGGACAGCTCACCAAAGTAAGTTGTAGATTAAAACTATATTAAGACCTTAGAATTAATCAAACCACTTTTTGTACTATATTCACAACGTCAATTAATAAACTAAATCAAGTTGAAGTGAGGAATTGATACGTTATATCCTTAATAAAGGCCAGTTTTTTTATATAGGATTTTTCTTGATAACCGTCATGAACAATGCCAAGTGTAGTAACTAAACTCGAAAGTAAAGTGAGAACGTATTTGAATTATATTCTCTAAAAACTGCTGAAAAATTACCTGCTATAGAGAACATATAAACACAAGTGACATAAAATAATTGAAGTAACTTTAAAAATAAATTTTCATAAATATTTTTCGCTGAATATATTAACTGAATTTAAATTTTTTTAGGTTTTTTTATATTAGCGAATGATGAAAAGGAGAATATGCCACTAATTTAAGACATTTGAACATTTATTTCAGGTCTCTTGTGAAGCAAGAAAGTTTCCAGACAGCAAAATCGGAAAAGTAAGTTATTATCTAATTTTTTTAATCCTTTCGCATTAATTAAAATGTTTGCATTAATTTTCTTCTTAAATTTCAGTACAATCAAGATTTCTGAAGAAAGTGCCGTTGAAAAAAGCGTATCGGATAAAAAGTAAGTCCGTTTCCAAATCTTATTTGCGTCAAATATTTTATTAATTTATTTAGTAAATATTTAGTTTATACTGTACCCATTACCTAGTAAGACTAGACTACAAAAATTGCTCGAAAATTGCGTACAAACATATAAAATCGAATTTCCGATGAACCAGATATATATGTACTTAAATTATCTTTCCATAAGGTGCCCAGTTTTCTTCACGCTTAAACACGGTTAAAAACGGTTCATAAGAGAGCTTCTATGCATATATTTATCTTTAATTTGATTTATAAATTTAGAGCGTAAGCCTTATTATTAATTGTTTGGAGATTTTATTGATTTAATAGAAACATTCAAATTTTAAACTAAAGTCTAGCTAAATTTAAAAAGATACGACACACGAAAAAAAATTGTGTTGTTTCAGGTCGACTTTGAGCAACGTAGAATCCGTTAATGCTGCGTCTGCTACTGAAAGGTATACAATTTTTACTGCCCATCAACTAAAACCTTATTGGCAACATCTGCCTATTATTAACATTACATTCTCCAAAGTAATGGATGGTACTAATAATTTTTATTTAGTCCAGAAACAAGAGAAAGCTCAATAATCACCGAACCCGCAAGTCAAACCTCCTCTTCTCAAACCGAAACCGCAGCAATTGAAGAGAAAGTCAAATCGTTGTCAAATGTTTCTAAGGAATCCAAAGAAGTGCGAGAATGTCCATGTCAAGTGGAAGAGGTGTGCAAATGCGGACCTTTGCTCGTGTGTACTTTGCCTTCAGCAGTTTGTGTAAATTACACGTCTGTAGAGTCAAACCTATCGCATTCTGAACAATCACCAAAGCTATCCAGTCATTCAAAGAGTTTATCGTTCTCGCATCAACCAACAATATCATCCAACAACCATTGTTCAGAACATCAAATAGCTTCTCACGATCCATCGGATGAAAATTCGCTGACTTCTCAACAGCCTAATCATGAATTTTCAAATGATCAAAACCACGATGACCATCATAGGGCTCATTATCCTGAGACCGATCCTCCATGTACTTGCCCAACTTGCTTGCCATACGAGGCAGCGATGCGGCGACAACATCAAAAGCATTCAGACCATCCACTACCGCATCATGTTACGGAGGAACATCACCAGTCGCCATATAGTCATTATCAAACACCTCAAAATCATCTACCGGACCATCATGTATCAAATCAACATAGGCTAGATCATCCCGTTGCCCAACATTCAGCCCTGAAACTTCATAAGTCCCGTTCCGGTCATGCATCTAAATCCCAAAAAAAACTTAGTTCCGAACAGAGAACTTCGCGCTCTCGTTCAAGGCAGTGTCAATGCCCCTATAACACAACAAAACCCTTGAACGATCCACATCTGCTTAAAAGTGACTCTTCGCTACATAGAAGAAAAAGTTCGTTATCTCATCGTGACCCATTTCATCCTGGAAGGAATAAGAATCGATTAAATTCAGATGAGTGCGCCTGTTGCAAATGCAGTGACACCACTGAAACTTCGAGCAACACAACTGACTCAGGCTGCAAGCAGATTGAAATAAAAGTGAATGCAACATGCAAAGGGTCGTCAACTAGTAGTAGTCGAGAAGGCTCTTCAGCTACCAAAGAATCGTCAACGTCCTATACTTGCATTTTGGGTTGCCCGAGAGCAAAATCGGAAAGGAGAAGCTGTGCTGCCCAATTTGAAGACTCTGACACTACCAAAGATTCATCGACATCATGCGGATGCCTCGTCCCGTGTCCAAAAAAGTCGTCCATAAAAAAGAGAGCGGCTTCGTGCAAATGCAGTCACAGTGCCACACAGAATCTGAATGGCATGAGCAACAAGGTTAGAATATGTGGATGCGGCACAAGTACAACTTCTGTTTCCCAGAAAAGTGCGGAGGCGCGAGTAGATGGCGGAGACTCAGTGAATGGTGTTATAAGATATGCAATAACGAAAATCACCAAATTTTCTAGTTATACCACTTTTGAAGTGATGAAGTCTACTAAGAAGAAACCGAGAACTTTGCCCACAAAATTGGAAGGAGTGTTTGTTTTAAGGAACCGAAAATGTAATTAGTTAGTTAAATTTATTGACATTCACATATTGAAAATTTGATAATAGAAAATACTACAAAAGACTTGAAATTTGCAAAATTATAGGCTGCTTTAGGACAAATTATCGTCAACATTAACGTCAATTACCGTAACAAAATACAATTATTTCAATTTTTTGTCGATAATTTCTAAGAACGTGGAAAACTAAAATTTGACTATCTTTAACTGGAAAAAGCATTGGTTTCAGTCTGTTCTATAACAATAAATTTTTTGGCAAATCGAGCAAAAAGTTCAAGACTTGTATTTCTTTCATAATCAAAGGAGAATTCATCATTGAAATTTTATACGATCTAGCAATATTAATGACTAGAAAGTGTGTGGGAAAAACTGAGGTTCGCTCATTTAACATTTCTAACAGCATGAGCATGTTAAATAAATTTACTTGAAAACGTATGTCTACATTAACATTTGTGTAAAGGTTGCTCAGATGCACATAAAGTTAGTAGGGAATATAATAACACAAATGGAAATAGAAAGCCCCTGATGTTCGAATAGTAAATGGCATCGGTTGTAGCTGCAAACTGATAAATTCCGGCGTACAAAAAAATTGGTTTAATTAAATATATACATGGAAATTGACGGAAAGAGTCAATATTTGTAATTCAAAACTGTTTTGTAATTTTAAAGCACTTAAATGATATCGATAGCTATTTTTAATTTAACTTGGAAATACGGTACAAAAATCTTTTTATTTGTAGACATTTGGGTAAATATTTGCTTTTGGTGTCCAGTTGCATTTATAAATCGTTTTAATATAACACAGCAGCAGTTTTTTATGTTCCTCATTGATTGAAATGCAACAGATAGTAAAATTAGTTTAAAAAAATTGTTTTGTTATATTTTGAACTGGCGTCTATGACGATTTATAAAATACATATACATCTAATATTTTTTTGTTAAAAGATTCATATTTTAATGGAAGTGTTTTTGATTTTTGGCGGTATAGAACTGAATCATCAATGTGAAATTGTGATGAAACGTTTTTGTGTTTATTTAAAACCCATGTAAAACACATGTTAATATTTTACTTCATTTTATTAAAGGATCAAAGTGCAGTAATTTGGAAACTTTGGAAATTTAAATTAGTTAACGAATTAGTGAAAAAAAAATAGTTAACGAATTTTGAAAACTCCGTTTTCTGAAAGTGTGGGTTTCAATTGGGTTAAATTAATAAATAATTCAGTAAAACGATTGAAGTAGATCAAAACTCTGTTTTAAAAATTGCTTATTTGCAGTTTAAATTTTAAAAAATAATTAATTTAATTATTTACTTAATAATTCCTTACATGTTTTAAATTAAAGTTTTAGATATTTTTAAGTCAGTTGTGTAGAAATTATTGTCTGAAGAATTGTGCAACAAATTAAATAGTTTGACGGCACTTAAATCAGATTCGATTTTCCAAATTACATTTAAATAAATCCTTCATAGTCAGAAAATAATCTCCAGGAACTACCTTGAAGTATTGTTTAGCCCTTCTTTGAAAATGTATGGTAAATTATGCCTGCTATTAGGAATTATAAAAAATTTATCCAAAAAGTTATTTTTTTAATTAAATTATCTACCACAATCTCGTTCGTGTTTGAAAAAATAAGTCTGTGAGTTTCATTAGTGATGTTACTTCTGATGTTGCTAGCAAAATTATCCTCCATTTCCGACTTAAGACGAATTTCTCTTTAACCAGTCTGTTTTTTTTTCGACAACTGGACAAAAAATTTTATTTATGGACTATTTTAGTCTGGAAAACTTACAGTCTGGTCTTAAAAGTGTACGTTTTATTGCGCCAAAACATTCTTCCAAATTTTTTATATTAGCCGTAGGTTGTTATAATAGCAGTAAAACAGTAACAAAACGACAACAAACCTCATTTCATAGATAATAAGTTTGCAACCCACTTACAAATTAAATTAATACTACTGATAATTAATGATGCAACTTATGCTGTAAAAGTGAAAAAAACTCATATTATTCTCGTTCATGATCACATTCGTGAATAAAAAATCCACAGGGGTTTTATCTAATGGTCATGCCCCTCAAGCGTACAACTTGGAAACCAAAATTTGCGTCCTTTGGAGATAAATTTTAATAATCCAATCTTTAAATGGAATGAATCGAATAGGTACTTGAAATACTGAAAATAAATTAGTGATAATTTATGGAAAATAATTTTAAGCACAATTTTATTGGCCTACTAGTTCTACCTTCCTTGAAACCATTTAAATAATTGCTTTTATCTAACCTGCTGCAAATCATTTATGGTAACTATTTCCACTGTGGCGCCCTTTATCCTGTTCGCCGTCTATATTCGATGGTAATGTGCCTGAGTTTAGCCTGAAGGAAATTGTGCGAACCATTCTTATAAACAATTAACGAAAACAAGAAATAAACTCATTGTGTTTATCCTATAGGTAATTTATTATCTCAGTACATTACATTTAGTTAGATAAACTTACATACGTGAAATATTCCTTAAAATACCCTAATACGGATAAATAAAACCACCTAAGACTTTCAGCAGGTTTCGACTTCAATTCATTTATGTCATAGCCGGGTTTTGTTTCTGTAATTCAGAAAGTTGTCCAATTCTGGTGCATACTTAAATTTACTTAATATCTAGGTTTGGTAACTTGTATGGTTTTATCCTAAACTAAGCCGATTTTCCGTTTAGCTTGAACTAAGGCTATGGACCCTGCATATATATAAGCTACAGGGCGTAACACATTACATCTAGCTTACTCATAATGGTTAATGAGTACGATAGTATATTAGACGTAATCTAGCTAGGGAAGAAGTAAATCAGCAAAGTGGGATTAAATATACCCTAGTGGTGACATATTTGCACCCTAAATGTGACCATACAAAGAAGCGAGTTTCTTTGCATTTTCTCATCGTCCTTAGTAGTATTAGAAAGCTTACAGTTGTTATTCGTTAGAATGCGATACAAGTTTGATCTATCTCTCCTAACAAATTGATTAATTTTAAGTTATAATATACAGAGATGTCCAAATGGAATGTACGTACTTTTCCATTTGGACATTAAAAGGCGAGTGATCCGTATCAAACGCTCTTTATTTGAGACGTTTGTGTCATCAAGTCAATATGGTATAAATCGGGGTTTGTTCTCATTAGACACGGGTTTGCACCATTTTTGTTGTAATCTTTTGATCAAGTCCATTTAAGAGAAAACATTGATTATGATGCGGCAAAACATTGCTGAAAGTCTTTGGAGATTGCTTAAGACTAGAACATACTCTAATTCCTATATTTAAGTTTATAAAATTTAAAGTTAGAATTAGCCTATAATTAATAATTATTAATAAAACAGCCTATTTGAGGAAACCAAACATGTTATTAATTTGGAATTGAGAGTGGACAATAATAGATGCCAGTTAATCGACTTGGAATACCATTAGGAGACGCGTTGTTTTACTATTTCACTTGCTTTCAGATAAAATAGCTAACAATGTTTGATTCTCAATGTTCATTTGCATGAATCTTGCAACTGCTTTCAGTAGCTCGCAGCAAATAATTGCCATGCTGTTAAAAATGGAGGTGGATGTAAAATTTGCAAACGTCAATATCTCGCAAAATCGCAATTTACTGGAGCTAGTGAAGAGTAAAACATGCAAATGAAAAGATGTAAACAAGTCTGCTATCTTAACTGATTTGATGCTCGGGGAGCAATAGTAACACAATTAATAGTTAAATGCTATTTTGTTGGGGGATTGTTACAAATATTTTATTCTTTACATATCTTTTGTTAACACACCACAAAAGTCTTTCCTTAAAACAACTATTTTATCATGCTAGTAAAATTTGATTAAGTAGGAAAACGATAACAGCTAATAATATTTGACTTTCTGAATTATATTAGTAAGCATAAATAATAGCTGCCTGCAAAAATAACTAAGACATTGAAATATTGGGATAAAAAAAACTACATTTTAAGTAGACAGCCTACTACCACGTCATAATGCAGATGAAATAATTTATATTAATATTTATCATCCCATTATAAGTACTATGCATTAAAGACAGAGTATTTAAACTACATAACAATAGTTGGTAACAATAGTTTGCCCATTTACCTTTGCTAGTGTTTCGGTGAAGTTCTTTCATTATTTAAAAAATCGGAAAGACGTCTAAAGTTTGAATATTCAGGATAATATCGAATATTGCCTGTCGCGAAGTAGTGCTGTTAATTAGTACATTTTTAATTATCAATAATACTACGATCAAAAAGGGTAACAAAAGAATAAATAAGTTAATAAAAAATTCTTGAAAATTCTACATGATGGCACATTTGCCCTTCTCAGCCCACGGGTTATTCTTTTTATCAGGAGCGTGAATCAGTGGGTCGTTTTTTTCATTTTCTTCAACATATTCCCGCATTCTGTAACAAAAACATGTTTTTAATATTTGTAGTTGTACACAATTTTATATACAGTTCAGCACCAATATATGAGCCATTACAGGTTCATTTATGCCGGTAATATTTATTAAAATTATAATGAGTTAATTAAAAATAAACCTAAGCGAGGAAGAATCACTTCGTCTAAAGGTTTAAACCGCATTTTTGAAAAACCAACCTTCAAATGTTTTACACGCTCACATTGGATTATTCTTAATCTAAGTTTCAAATAACCTTATATTCCATAACTAAATAAGTTATGGAAGAAAAAGTATTGGAAGGCAAAGTTGCATCTTGGATTTTAAACACAAGTTATGAGCGTTATTTTTTGGTCAATAAGTGAACATTAAGCCCTAGAGTTACTTTTATTAAGAAAAATAATATGTTTTCTACGATTAACGTTTTGTTCGATATTAAAATCGGATTTCACCATTAAAATCGGAAAGGCATTCCAAGCTAATTTGCGATAATTTTACTCATTTCTCTAATGGCGTCTCAGTTTTTAAGTTCTMATGTTTCGAGTAAAATCACATTTTTTTATCAATAAAATTACGTTACTAAAATTAAATTTATTACGAACTAACTTTGAATTATCATATAGACTTTTTACAACTTAAGCGTGAATTTTAAATGGTTGAAAGGAAATTTTAGATATCAATTTGACATTTTTCAATTGTGTTTACATTTTTTTTATGACTGATAAATGATGATTATGTCTATGATAAATAGACACAAATTTATGACATTATATTTCTATAGTTGTATTTAATGTAAATATCTATTGTCTATTATAACATAGATTATTATAGACATTTTCTCGGCTGTATTGAAGCCGTTTGTTCTTCATTATTCAAGTTGAGAAGATATCGTATGATTATCGCGGCTATTTAAGTCATAAAAGATCTTCCAATGTAGCAACCAATTTGTACAATTCGCTTGCAAATTAAAAAGAAAAAGTCTCTATAAAACTAAGACTTAAATTGAGGATAGAGAAAAACACCTACCCATTCCAAAAACGCTTGATTTATTATTGGCTTTTCAATATATTATTTTAATTTCTTCAGGTTTTCATGGCTTTCAAGTTATATATCTGTACCTAAAGTAAACTCACTGCCTAAACACTTGCTTAGACTCACCTCCTTTTTTGATATACTTTCTTAATAATGCCTTGCAATTGGGACATTAATCTCAAGTTTCTGAATAACTTAAAACTATTTTAAATCCATTTTCCCAATAGATGTGTATATTTACTATAAAATAATAACAGTTGATCAGACAGATTGAATTATTATTTCATAGCTTTTTGGAAACCGTAAGAGATTGCTAAGATATATTGGTTATTAAACTTGGCTTTTAAACTTTTTGAAATTTCCCGTAGGAGCCAATAAATGAACCAGCATTTTGCTTTCCTCTTAGAGAAACGATTCGAATAAAAAATTACAATTTATTACAGCGCCGAAGTGAAATCACATCAATTATTTTATCATGTGCTGGAAATGCCTTTTTATTAAAATTTTTTTAAAAATTATCAACCTTGATAATGAACAATTTTTTTTCACAAGGTTCTTCCAGTCTCATATTTTCGTCCATTGAATGTTTCCTTTCAAACACGGCCGTTTATCTGAAGCAAAGTATTCAGAATTATTTTAAATAAAGAAAATCAGCAGACTAAATTTGGTAAGCAGGACACATGATGTGAGCGTAATTGAATAAATTGAAAGATGTTTCTTTGGATTACTTCCGGAAATTAAAAAAGATCGGTTTCTTGCCTTGCTACTTTGATCTAGAAGGCTGCTAATAATTAGCAGCTTGTGCTCTTCTCTGTGTTTTTGCTCTCAGCATAATCAGGCTCAAATTAAATAAAACTTTCCCGTAAGTGCATGATTAGGTCGATCTGGGCCGGACTGAAAGGACGCAGGCAAGCACAAAGCTGAATTTCAATTCATGCGTGAAAAAGAGAAATGCAGTTCTAATGTTTCCCTCTACTAAATAAAAAGGTAATTTTTATACAGTTATCTTGTAAAACAAAATTTAAAAGCGTTTTTCGGATTCTTTCCACTTTAATAAATTGTATTTTTCGTATTTGACGCAGCATCTTGGCAACGATCTAAAAGTTAAGAGTTTATTTCAAAAAATGAGCGCAACATGATATGGATGTAATGATAGTGATTTTTTCAATACATCTTAATGTTACATTGGAATATTATTTATTAATAAAAAAATATATTTTTTACCATTAAACATTATATTACGTCAAGTATTGACGGTATCTTTGCGAAATTTCCATGGCCAATTGCTGACTGAAACTTTGGAGACATACAATATTTCGTTCTATTAGTTATTGCGCTGTTCACGTTCCGTTACCATTTCACTCAGGAAATGGAGTTATTTCGTTGTAGTTCTTGTTCGATTACTTTTTCCTTAGTTGTAAGTATCAAATAAACAAATGTCTTTTTTTAACACACAACAACTTTTAAAATTTTCCCTTCTGTATTTTTGATTTTTCAAGGTTTATGTAACATCAAAATATGCATTTTCAACTAATTTGAAAATTGGCTGACTTAATTTATTCAATGTAATTTTTACGATATAAATATGGAACTATTTAGTGTTAATTATGAAAGTGGTCTAAGTCAAAACTCTGTGACGCGTTTCTGAACCCCATAATAGGCCACAAATTTTTGGTATCGGGTAATTCCTTTCCACCGAATGATCGTGATTTTAGGTTGGTAGAAATGAAAATAAAAAAAGCAAATTACTTATACAACCCTTAGCATTATTATGAATTAATAGAAAATTATAGAAGAAGAAATACATTTTCGATAAATCGAATGTATATACTTTCCTGACTGTGTTTCAATTCCAAATCAAAATTAATTCCTGGGTTTCAGTCATTTATTGTCTTTATTTATCAATTAAAATACGTTTCGGTGTATTTTTTCACCATCATCAGTTTTTACGTGTAGCGTTGTTGCTGCTTTAAGCCTTGCCATACATTTGGATGCCAAAATGACTGGAACCCAGGAATTAATTTTGATTTGGATAAAACGACTGTCACAGCCATTATTCCAATGAAATCATTAGAAGAGTCAACAAAAAGAGTAAAAAACTCAGCGGCAAATCTTGTTTCTTGGCTACAAATCATTATGGATGAGATTCTGATAAAATGAACCTTATAAAATGTTTTATAAAACTTCTTTAGATTATTCTAAACTTCACGTTTTGGATCTTTCACCTAAAAGAGGAAGACAACAAATATACGGAAATGTTAAGCTACTTCCATTATTCACCATAACTAACTAGACCATTATCGAAGAAAAACATAAATATAATATGTGTTTACTACCATATATTCCTCCAGTCTATCAGGAACATTTTAAGATTGTTAAAATTAAAAACTCGAAATTATAAAAATGGATTACTTTTTTAAAATAATTAATAAATGTTCATCAATTATTTCATTAAAGTTATTGTTTCAAATAAAACACATTGTTCTTATCGCTTTAAGTCATTTATAAGACACTCAGTTAATTTTGAAAATGGCTTAAGTCAATTCCAACTTTAAAAACAATATTTTCGTATAAAATTCATACACAATTCCAAATTGATAATAAATTTCGATTAATCAATAATAAAATTCTAAATAAATAGGTCGCATAATGCAAAAATATTTTTTTAATTTCTATAAATGCAATTCATTAAATATGTCGAAACAAGAAATATATGACTTAGACCACTTTCATAATTATGGGGATAAATAGCAGTAGACCTAAAATGCTAGAAGCAACTATCAGAAAGCAGTTCATTCATTCGGCGACTGTTTAAATAGCTGTTAGCTAACGACACCTATATATTAAAACAAATTTTCATTTAAAAGTTGTTTTTGTTGATCCCAATATACATCTCTTGCGATGCGAATTCAACTTATAAGCCTCGGATCAAATACCAGGATAATTTTCAGTTTCCGACATAAAATCCTACGTTCTCGCATATGCCGAGTGTGTTTGATTTCGAAAGCATTATGGAATGTAAACTGCACGAGAATTTCAATAGGGCTACTGCAATATGCTTTGACGTTTCAGGTACCATTGCATTTAAAACCAGGATTTTATCAGTTAGAATCGAAAAGCGCAAACTAATCAAAGCAGAAACTTTTTTATTGAGCGAAAAATTGCTTGTTAATCTGGTCGATTTTTTGTGCAAATCACAGTTAATTTTCACGTAAAGGTTTCTGTATTGAGTGCCAAATATAAGGTTTTAACAATAACGTTTTAAGCCCAAAATTTGCGTTGTACCAAAACTATGGGGCAGGATGTGTTATCCAGCATATTTACATGTTGGCATCAATGAACGCAACTCATCAATATTGATCAATTAATACATCATTTGAATAAAATATTCGTTACTTATTTCGGACTACGCCAAGGTGATGTTATTGATTGCGAGCGGCTAAAGAACCTGTATCAACTAGACTGCAACAAAATATTTTCAGGCAAGTTATCACAAAAAATCAAATCAGCGAATCAAAATCGATTATCGAAAAAAATACCAATTATTTTGTAAATCGTTGCTTGTAAACCAATTGCTCATATGTATATGGTTTTAATATGCTACTATAAACGCAGTTTTAAAATCACTGTCCCAAAATGAACGCCTAAGTTATAACCAGACGTATATGCGATTTCCCAAAGGATAAAATCTACCACAGCTTATACCTATGTCTCAAAAAGTCGTTCATTCATAGTCCCAAAAGGACCAGCAGCGGGATTTGGTATGCAAACGCATATAAGATTGGTCTAGACTCTGGATCGCGAATTCTGTTGAACATTGCTTGATGTTCTAACATTCGTCCAAGATAATATCCATTTATCACTAGCAGGTTGTTTGGCTTCGACAACAATAGAAACCTTTAAATTTATCTCAAGAAAGTATTCACTAAATTGTGAACTATTGTTCGAAACTCAGCTGTAGTAAAATGATAAAGCTTAAAAGAGAATGGAATTGACTAAGGCGTGAAAAAGACTCTATAATAGGTGTATTCAAATCCGCAGGACGATAAAAAAGATAAAAAGTGAAAATAGTCTTTGTGCTAAAGCTTCGCACCTAACAGTAATAATGAGCAAGTGATTTATTCGAAGAAAGTTGACATTGCAGGTAATTTGCAATGATAAATGCAGGCATTCTGAACTTGCTAAGACACAAAAATATTTTTTTGAGGATAGCTCGAATTATTGCTTAGCTTAATGGATTAGCGTCATTCCAAAACGTAAAGAAATTATCAAAATGATTTGCCCAATTTATGAAAGTAATAACACTTTGCAATTAGATTTTTACTGCTTTCTATCTGCCCTTCTTTGAGGAAACAGTATAGACGGTTCGAATATTATGAAATACATTACTTTATGTGTAATATTATATTTCCTGTTCAAAAAATAGAAATGATCTATAAGAACTATAAAGTGAAAGTTTGCCCTAGAAAGTCGGAAATTGTAAATTTTCCGAAAATAAAAAGAAGGAAGAAATCCTTTACCATAGAAATAGAGTCAAATCTACATTCAACTTAAAGAGTTCAAACCATTTAAAACAGCTATTCTTCAGAAACATAATTCGGCGAATAAAATTGTCCCAGATAACTGTTGCGTTAACAAAAAGGTTGAAATAAAAGCATGTTTTGAACATAATGAAGGACAAAGTACATAGAGAAGTTGTAAGGAAACTGCTACATACAAATAGTGAACCAGATTATTTTCACTAAAAGATGTGAGTAGAGACTCAGAAAACCTACCTGAACATTTTTGCGAACATTTCAGGCATTTGCTACCGTAATTATTTCAATTGTACCTGAACATCAAACATTTCCAAGTATTTACTGAAGTCATTCATTATGTTCTCTTCTCGTCTGTATTCATCAAATTTTCAGCCGCAGTAAAATGCTAGCTTAAAAGCAAATTTAGTGTATTACGGCGAGCATAATAACTCATTAAAAATGCTTTCTAGCTTTCAGCATGATTAAAGAAAAATAATGAAACATTTTCCTTTGTGTTGAATCTTTTCACATACATCAATGCATGTACGCAATCACCATTTAGGACCTTTCAATCATATAGTACAAAATTATTAGAAATTAATTTTACTTTTCAATAACGTAATAAAAATGTGAGAGTTTATTTACTTAACTAAAAAAATWTTTTTTTTATTTTTGGTGGAATTATTAGCGCCCTCATGGGGTTAAAGAAWAATTTTAGGCAAGACGCTAAAATTCTGTGGAATAATTATACAGTTTAGCCAGAAAACCCGTTTTCAACGCAAGACGATCTTTAAAATTAAATTTAAGCAATCTGTAGAGATAAGCCCGTTGAAAGAAAATCTAATAACAATATAACACTATATTGGCCATCAGATTTAAGTTACGATTGAGTAAATCTTTTTTAGTTCTTACCAACACAGCAAAAGCAAGTTTACTAATTTTGCACTTAAGAAACAACGAAAAGTGTTGATAGAATCTAAAGAATCCAGAAGAAGAAACAAATTGATATTGACGAGTTCGAAAAATATATTTAATAGTTTTCCTGAACCCTATTAAATATAGTTAAAAAAAAAAACAAAACGGACAGCAAAACAACACATCCATTGAAAGCACAGCTGAATATAAAATTGAATCAATATTCTGATTCAAACTTTATAAATATTCTGATAAAATTAGTAAATAAAACCATAAGTGTGCCATTAATAATAATGATTAAGTTAGTATATAAAAACATACTGAATGGTCTAAAATCGCGCCGGTTTATAGTGAAATTGCCAAAGTTGATTCTAAGGTTGATTAAAGCAGCGAATTCGAGATAAAATCGTAACGGAAGGCCCTGTTTTCAATACTTTCAATTAATCTTGATTTTAAACTTTACTATATTTGGATGTTTTCTTCTTGCCGCTAAACTTTTGTCGAATATTATATAAAATTTTGGATTTTGTAATTGTAACACATCAGCTAAATTTCCAAGTCCAGTAATTTAATTTCGCACGAGAAACAAAAATAATAAAATTAATATTTCAGAATTTAAAAACAAAGCGAACCGCCTGATAATGTAAATGCCATTAGATTATCTGAGCTACATTTTTTTTTACTTTTTTTTGACGAAATATTTAAAACATATATATATTAAAATGGAACATTCCAGTGTAGCAAGGCTAGTTCTAACAACGTTTTAATAATGAAAAGCGCCCATATTAGTTATATTAATTTCTATATCAAAGTGCTATATAACACACATTACATATGTTCACAAAAAATTCAAGCAAAACCCTTTAAAACCGGGGAAGGGACGTGATTTTTGACAATTGACATATCAAGCTTAATAACCACAACATGCATAAACACATTTTTAAATAAAATGCCTTGATTTAATGGAAAACAATTGCACAATAATGCGAAAAAGTGTAGTTTGAAACTGGACTAATCAGTGCAAAGACAAAACCACTTTAAAAATAGACCCAGTTTACAGTTCCGCGGCCATCGAACGTTGCGAGTGTTTTAGTAGGCAGTAGAAAACAAGTGAGCAATAAAAAAAGCGGTTTTATTTTTCCAGCGCAAAGCCCAGTTTATTTTACGTGTTAAAAAAAATTCTAATTACTTACGCGGCAATAGATTTGGAAAGTGTCCAGCGTTCCATCGACGCTTGATACTTCAGGTTGTCGATTTGCTTACGCAAAGCATCCTTATCCATGGTGGCTAGGGACGCACTGTCCATGACGCGATTCGCTTAGGCGGAGCAGGGCGTCGGAGGATAACGACGCAGGCGTCTTGACGGGCGTCGTCGTAAAATTTCAATATCAGCCGTTGTTTGGAACGGCTGAAATCAATCCAGATTGGATGGAAGCAATCGATGATCGCGCGCGAGCCGGGAAGGCTCCAAAGAGGGCTCTGCATGTGAAATTTTAGCTGCTTTTCATTAAATAATAGTTCGTTTTTATTTTTATGTATATGGGTGTAGATGAGACAAGGCGAGATAAATCTAGAGCAAAGTTTATGACGTCTGAGCTCAGTACCAAGTTGGATAGTTTCACTTTAAGTGTTTTTAAGAGTTTTTGGATATTCAGTTGAAAATATGGCTAATTTTTGTAAATTACTCTTTAGACTAGAAAACTTTATTTCAATTTTTCCTCGCTTTATTAAAAAAAAACGACATTTTCAATCTATTCACATGTATTTTTTCTCATCTTTCTTCAAAGGAAGTTATTCTCTTAGAATCTAATTTCGTGTTTTTGTCATATTTCTTATTGAGTCAACTCTCTTGAATTAATCCTTCGAATTAATCTAACCACATTATTTGGAATTTCGATTAGTTTTCTTACTTCGGTACGAGATGGATATTGGGATTCAACTGAAGTTTTCTTTCATTTCCAAGATACTATTAGGCTCAATAACTTATACTAATTTACTTATCTAATAATTACCTTTTTAAGACAATAATTTTATTTCTTAAATTAAACTGTTTAATCTTAAATGTTCTATTGTAGCAATTTGGGAACAACGTGTCCTTTCATCGTATTTTCATTCTGAATTGCATTTCGTACTTTTTTATTAGGTACACATTGTAATTAATCTGTTATTCTTCAAAGTAAAAAAAAATTGTGAAATTTTAGTAACAATTAATAATGTATACATTTTGGATTTTTTGGTATCGGTGGCAGAAGCTCAAAATTGTCTTAAATAATTCAAGTCACTTTATTTTTAAAATGTGAGAAAACACTATTCAGCACAAAGAAACGAAAAAAAATTAATTACATGCTTTCTTCAAATGAACTGAATGAATGATACAAATGAAACTGAACTGAACTGAAATGAAACTGAGTTTTTGGGTACATTGTAATTAATTTTATTCTTCTAATGCGAAATAATTGTATTTAATGGCAAAATAAGAATTCACAAATGCAAAATAATTGTATTAATTTATTGCATAAATTTGGAATGTTTTCCTCTTTTTTTAGAATAACTCAAACTGAACCTTTTTAAATGAAATAAGTTTTCAGTTGTCGAAAGTGTTACTTGAAAATTTCTTAAATTGATATAAATGAAATAATTTATCTTCACCTTGTGAATAAAATTTATAGTGCCGATTTATATATTCAGATGAAGAAGGGCTCGCTCTAGTTTGATATTTAACTTAGTTTTATTGAAGTAGCTTAAAGAAACATCAGAATTAATACTTTTGTTCAGTCTTATTGTCTTAAAACCAGCGAGTTTTAAAAGTAAAACCAATTTTGATTACATCTTCGAAATTGAAATATTTTTGTTTTTACAAAAAAATAATTTACTTATATTTAATGCATACATTTACTTCGTCGTATTACTTGTTACATCTACTACGTACGTCGTTATAATCAATGTTTCTAACGCCGGTGTTACACTACTGACTTTTTCCGATTTATTCGCCAATAAATACTACTAGTCTACTTTAGACTTAAATATTGATCTCACAATAAATTGGTGCAGTTTCAGTAAAACCAACCTATCATGTATTGCATACACCTATTTTCAAGATCTAAAGCACAATAAAAAATAAGTTAAAACTCCTAATTATGTACGTGTAACTTTACTTCGAAAAATGCTCTCAATATTGTCATTCCACAGATATCAAACAAAAAATAAAACCGAAAAGTTTCAGATCATTTTTACAATTCGCAATAATTTCCGACATTCTCAAGTCCACAATAAATTGTACGATTTATAGATCGCAGCCCGATGCTACTATTTGAGCAAATCTCTGGTAATCTTAAAAAATTGACCCAATTTATTGACCAATAAATCGGGTAAAAGTGCGTAGTGTAAAACCGGCATCAAAGGTATTACTATTTGGCACAAAAATAACTTTTATCTGGTTTATGGTACTTTTATCTGTTTTTCTTTTAATGAGCTCAAACTGATTTATTTGGGAACATTTTAATAATATTTTTTTTATTCAGTTAGCATTAGAACATATTGTATTTATTGACAAAATACAATTTAACCGAAGAAAAACTTATTTTTCACTATTATTTATTTTCATTATAAAATAATAATTAATAATTTTATTCAATGCTAATGTGTTTTGTGTCAAGTAACGGGTAGTTACTGCAAGTGAAACAAAAAAAAAGTAAGTTAAAAAACTAACTTTTGTTAAAACAACAATTTACATTCTATTTAATGCATAATCAAATCCTCTTAGAGATTAGCTTGTACAAGGAAAACAACGATATACGTTTTGAACATAGTTCACCTCGTATAAGTAATCTTTTTTTGGTTCCGTTACTATTTAATTATACCACTATGGCGAACGAATATAAGAAGAAGTAAAAATGCGTATTAGAGCAGAGTTGAAACTGTATATTTTAAATAGATGCTGGAAAAAACCGGTGTAGTCCAAGAGCGCTATCGCTAAATACTTTGTACATACAACATTAATTTCTTAAAACGGCGTACAGCAAACGAATCTGAAGATGTGGCGTCAAAGGCTTGCCACTTTTTTGAAAATATGTTATGTATAAAATCAACAACCTGAACATAGATTTTTACGATTTAATTCAAATATATTTCGAACAAATTTTAGATCTGTATTACTTCACTTCTTTGGTTATAATTATCTGTTTTTATGCAATGTGCAAAGGAAACAGATAAGAAGCAAATATAAACATCCACGATGAAATGGAACAATCAGTCTATAGATTCAGGAATTAAAATCCAAACTAGCGATGTACATATAATGACAAATCAATAAATGAATGAGAGATTATTTTTAATTTGCGTTACCTCTATTCTTCTGAATAAATTAGGTCGAATCGAAAGTTTTAGCGGAAACTGTTTACATACTTTGCAACACATGAAACTTACCAATTGACAACACAAAAACCTATGGTCGACAAGCCAATATAATCCGCTAATATAATTTGAAAACCTTGTTCGACCACTTAGCTTAAATTAAATCAATTATCGCTTAAGAAATATATGCACCTTCGCGATTCTTTGAAATGTTATAGATATGCAAAACGATACACTCCACTAAATCACTGGTGTTTAATCGAAATACCCCGTTTACGGTTACTACTATCATTTTGTGTAAGGAACTTCAGTATGAAACACTCCGTAAGAGACAGGTAGGATTGCTTAAGTGGAAAGTATTATTGATAAGAATGATAAACTGGAAGGGACTTGCTAACTAGACTTGCTGAAAAATGCTACATGTTAATGTAGCATTTATGTTAAGTAATTATGTTAATGAACTGAATGAAAGAATTGTGCCCATTCTAGTTCACATTTCTTATACGTTTCAAACCCCGTAATTAATACTTTCAAACATCTGCACTATAAAATATACGAAGGTAAAACTATGCTTCAAGCTTTCGCACAATTCGTTCTTCTCAAACTTGATGGGAAACAAACCGGGGACGTTCAAAATTTTAATGCTTTTGCTGGGGATAAAGTCAAATACTTTTGCTGGGACACTTCGTTATTAAATGGTCCCGAGTGATTTTAAACGTTTAATGGTCAAATGATCCAGTTTTGTCAGTAAACTCTAGCTGTGATTAAAAAAATTGAAAACTTGTGTTACATTTTCCAGCTTTATCCTTCCTCTTCTGTAAGCTCTACAACCTTGGGAGGGTCTTAGCTGATTGCACTATTGGCCTTCATTTTGAAAGGCTTTAATGTTGTCTCTCCAGCGGATACTTGGTCTACCTGGTGTTCTCTTTCCGGTCGATACTTGTTCCCAAGCTAGTTTGGCGAGTCTGTCGTTTGGGAGTCTGTGACCGTGATTTGCACATCCCAATCGTTGTGACTGAATCTTCTACATAACATCAGGGTGTCTGTATAATACTTTTAACTCTTTTAACTCATTACTTGTTCAAGAAGTTGGCTCAAGAAGGTGTCCGAATATTTATCTGAGCATCTTCCTTTCGAATCCACAGATAAATTGTCTTCTCCTCATTTCGTTTGCTGCATTTCTTAGATCATTTATCCGTTTCGCTGGAGTCCAAATTCCCTAAAGTTTTCACAAATATTTTGAAATTTATTCTCGAGGCTCCGAATCTATATTGCCATTGGACAAACCACATGTGAAATGGATACCTCTTATACTGCTTAAAAAGCCAACCTTCAAATGATCGTGAGGTAAACGATATTTGAAGAATTTTATTTAATATTTTTACGTATGACCAACAATGAAAAATTCTATAAGGGAAAGACGTAATAAATTTTCTTATCCAACATATCTGAAGTACCTAGCACAAAATCCTCACTTAATTTAGCTCGTTGCGGTCAGAATTTAGTGTTAATGCTCAGTTAATTCGGAACTATATTTTTTCTTTTTTGGAAGAAGTTTTCTTAAATTACATGGCCGGGACTAACATATCTAGGAAGAACTTTCGGACCAAACTGTAAAGTACATTTTTATTTTAATTTAGGATTTGGAATATTTCAGCAAAATCTGCTATAATAGATTCATCAGGCTTATTTGAAAATGTGGTCGATTTAGAAAGGTAACAATTCTTACACAAAGGAAAAATGTTGAGGAACTGCCCTCTTAAGCTTTAAGCTTAGCTCTTAAGTTTTGTATGCAAATATAACAACTTTAAAATATCCATCCATTAATTAGCTCGAAAGCTAATATAATTTGTTCAATTCAATTAAATTGCACATTAGTACAAGAGCAAATACTAAGAAGTAGTGCGGCGGGTAGACTTATATTTAACTTAAAAGTAGGTGTTAACTGCATTTAACCAGCTTCTTTCCATCACACAGTCGAATTGACTTTAACCGCAAATAAGTAACACTTTTATTATAGCTAATTCGAGGCAATTCCTTATGTTTATTTTTAATCTTATCAGTTGACAAGCTGGTAAACCTACCTAGTTTTATTTAGAGCGCTACTTCTAAATGTCACTGATTTAGATTATACGCAGACAATTTAATTCTAACTTATCTCAATGGTTATGTTACTTCGATTATAACCAGATATTTCCATAAATAAGATTCCAGTCACAAAGTGAAGTTAAAATTATTGGATTTGAATTAATCGGTTGAATACATAATCAATATAATTGATTTCTTGTTAATAGTTTTAGTTATAACATTTGCAGTTTTAGTATGTGTAGGAGGCAAGTAGGTAGGAGAAGAAAAGTCGATGAATATTAGATATTATACAAAGTTATCCATGTTATGCTTGGGAAAGTGAATTAAAAAAAACACATACAGTATTCCGATAGATAAGAAAATATTAATTCAATATAAAGATTAAACCTTGCCATTCATTATACGTGAAGAACAATATCAGTTTTAATGTCCTCCACGGGACCTCCTACAGATCTCAAAGCTTTTGTGGTAATTTTGAACTGTAACTTTTCGGCACATTACCGGTAATATCTTGGTCATAACTTCACGAATATTAGCTTTCAGTTGCTCAAGAGTTTAAAGATTGTTGGCGAAAATACGATATTTCGCATAGCCCCACAAAAATAAATTTAACGGTGTTAAGTCGCAGGATCTTGCGGGCCAATTGCATCACCCAATCTCGAAATTACGCTTCCTGGAAATTTCTCTTCCAATAGGGCTCTAACTGCCAGTGTTCTGTGACTCGTTGCCCCAGCCTGCTGGAACCACATGGCTTCCAGATCATAATCTTCAATTTATCTCCAAAAATAATCGGTTCCCAAAATGAGCCTCATCGCTGAAGAAAATTCGGTTCGAAAAATCATCAACGGCTTGTTCAATCACCCAATTCGCGTATGTTCTGCGTTGCCCATGGTCTTGAGGTTTAAGATCTTGAGTCAGTTGGACTTTGTATGGATAGAGCTTCAAATCCAATAGCAAAATTCGCCAGAATGAGCCGTGAGACAAGCCCAAATGTTGGGCACGTCGGGCAATCGACGAATTCGGATTTTCCTCTACACTTTGAGCAACAACAGCGATATTTTCAGCTAAACGAATGTTGCGATGAAACACAGGCCTTACAATATCAGTAACCGATCCAGTCTCTTCAATTTTTTCCACTGTGTTCGAAATTGTTTGCTCTGTGGGTCGATTATCTCGACCGGAATCTCTTCGAAACGGCCTAAACGTTGACACAGAAGAATCACATTTTTATAGTAACATTTAATAATTTTTTCGCGTTCTTCGATAGTTAAACGATCCATATTCCAAAATGGCAAACCTTCAACTAAAACGAAAACGCTTAGGATGACGTTTACCTTGGACATATACCAAATAGCAAGGTTTTAGTTGCCCAACCTCGAATTGGATAACCCGTGATTATATTATATTATATTATATTATATCCCGTCTTAAACATTGCACCCTGACTAGAGTAAAAATATGAGAAAGTGGTTTAATCGTCACAATAACTGTACTATAATTTTATATAAGAGTTTAATTAAATTAAAATTATAATTATAATCAAACACTAACAATTTTTCATTACATCAAACTTGTTTTATGACTATTACATTTTCTGCTGCATCACGTCAAAATAAGTGTATTTACTCGAAAAACATTATGCTTATTTATCAACAATAATGAAGCCACACTAAACTGTGAGTAGCAACGTGCGTTTATATGGCATTTCTAGAAAACAATTTCAATATTGTATTCAAACGTTCATACATCGCCCAAAATCGCACACATGATAAAATGTGGCTTTATTTGTACTTTTTCTTTGACTTAGGTCTTTAATTAATTAAGTTTATTTCCAGAAATTGGATACAACAATCACCTCTGATTCTATCAAATCAAACAATCAAAACTTTTTACAAGAAATATATAAATATTTCCACATAGAGTGACCCTGAACGTAAACCTGAGAAAAACAGCGCTTGTAAAGAAACCCTACAAAAATTATTTGCTTTTTTGAAGGGTTTCAATTTCAGGAAGTAAATATTGAGTGCTAATCAAATTTTGCAAAGCCAAAAGTAAATCTTTCCAAATGAATTATTGAGCAGATGGACAGCAATAAAACGTTGAAACAACAGTAGATTTCTTTAGTGGGTAATTAAAGACGTCGGGATGAAGAGTCAAAAATTATATTTTAAAATTGTAAGAATCGAATTACGCCTGGAATTCCAAATGTATTTGGTTCTCTAACCGTCAGGTTACTTGCTATCAGCAGATATTAGAGCTGATGACGACTATTTAGTACATTATTTTTAGACGTTCTGTATTTTATAATTAATCTGTAAATAATAAATTTAATTTGCATACTTTGGGCATTTTGAGACATGCGAGTGTTTCCGTTGAAAGTTGTCGGCTTTTGTTTTTAAAATAATTTTATCCCTTCATCGTGAACACACTTTATGGATGATGAATGCAACGATAATGTAGTGTAGTTATTGTCACCTTAATGTCCACAAACCAACGGCAACAATTTACCTATTTAAATTAAAGAGTTTTACATTCATGTGGAGAACCCAGTCAGTTTATAACGGTAGTTTCAAGAAAGATCTGAAATAACGGAAATGTAAATTTTAAGCAGAATAATTAGCGTATCCAGCCATAACTAATTCAGATTATATTCACTTTTCCATGTGCAATACATTATAATTGGAGAAGTATTTTTCAATTAAATTTTTTGGTTTTTTGTATATTTAAGTTGCTTTTGATTTAATTAAAAATCTGTTCAGATGAAGCAAAAAAATTAATTGTTGGATTTTCGTATTATTTTCCTTGACAGATTGGCGATAAAGTAATGACTAAGGCGTAAATTGAGATTGATTGATTTTCTCCAAACTATATTAAAATACAGTTGAAAAGTGGCCGCGATATATGTATGTCATCTGCAAATTGAATAAAAGTATAAATAAATCTTTAAATAAATGTCGAGTGAACATTTTTCACTAGTTTAAGGCAGCATCGCAAATTTCAAACAGATTGTATCAATTTCAAAATCCATAACTTAAAAGAAAATTTGAGAATTGAGAAAAAATCATTCAATCGTTAAAATAGTTTGAAACATCTGCTTTTCATTTTCGAATGTTTGTGATTGTAAAAACTTATTTCACATAAATGTTTAAAGTATAAAATTTGGGGAATTGTCATTTTGGTACATTTTAGTTTACAATACACATTGTAGGTTCATCTGCCTTATTAAAAGTCTAAATTTGGGCGTGAAAGAT